CCTAAGTTGTGGAATATATAGTGTCAGTTGGATATCTACAGTCAACAGTCAGTAGTAGCGGAGAACAAACTTTCAGGAATTAGGACATGGAAGATTTCGATAGTGAAAAAGATGAGCCGAAATTACCCCGCACTGGCTTCTTCACGACGATCTCACGCTCTCGAAGGACGACCATGGGCCATATGGCACGGCTCAGCATACTTGTCTAATCTATCTATTTAGCCCTCCCCTTAAGCCCGCTGTTCTGAATCTGATTCTGCTCCTTTCAACTCATGTTCAACTCGGAAATTCAAATTACAATTTACAGCTACGCTTCTATCTCATCTAAGTATTTCTATGGATTTCGATGTTAACGGGAAATATTAAAAGTTCTTGGAAAATAGGCAAATATTGAGTAGTCCCATTACATCGTGTATATTTTGCTTATTTTAGTTTAGCGTCAGGTGGCAGGTCCAAATAACTATTCCTTTCGCTTGAATATGCGGCTGTCAGAGTGCATCAATACGGTGCTTAGAACAATTTTAGAGTTTCATACGGAGTAGAATCATTGCGCACAGCTGTGGGATCGACATACAGCTGAGGCTGAGTGTCTATTATTAGATTGCTTGCTGAGAGCCGATGCCTGATAAATAGGGGCTTATCACTTAAACACGGATAAAGATTTGTATCTCTCTTCTTTGAGCTTTCTCTGGTCTCTTCTCTCTGCTTCATCTTAGGTAACGTATAGTATGGATTTAATTGCGAAGTAAATCATTTCACCTGACATTCGTACTTAGACAATGGTTGACACAACAAAACTTGAGAAAGTCCTCCGAGAAGGCGGCCATTGTGGAGTTCAGCTTGACGGCCTTTCAACCATGGGTGGTATGCAATACGTTTGGTAAGTACTTTGTCCGTGAGAGAGCTATTCTGCTTAGTGTCTATTGCCAGGATATCCGATACACAAGATATTCAGTGTATATAACTGGAGATCGTTCTTGGCTGACACTTTTATACTACTATCTAGCGCCAATGTTGATGAGCCCGAGGGCGATCTTGATCTTTTAGCCAAGTCCCTTGAGGCTATGAACGCTGAGCCAGATGAGAGTAAGGAGGAACGCACGGGTGGTTCTGGGCAGCTCGGCAAGATGATCTTCTCTTGTGACAATGGGACTATCTGTGCCATTGCTTATATTCCCCAATCGCTGAAGGGACAGGTATGTGTTTTGTTCCTGCCTGCAGCCCTGCACAATCCCTGCACGCAACCCTCAATAGCTTATAGCCAGGGTTACTGACGGGCCGAAAAACACAGGTCGATGCGGAGGACTGGTTAAAGACCATTCTGGCCCCCTACAATGGCATGCTCGTCAAGGCCAGTCCAGTTTTCTCCACGGGAACTATCGCCGTTCACCCTGGGAATGGCAAGTCCTCCCGTGAGGTGCGCGCCGAGGCCTGTCACTCAGCTGTCAAGTACCTGCAACAGAAGGGTGTCTACCCTGATGCCGAGACCGACTCCGACAGTGATGGGTTTGGGGATGAGGAGGCGGAGAGGCTGGATAACTTGTAAAGATAGGCTTTGGTAGAACCCACCTGCCCGCCTACGGAGCCGATTCTGTTTTCCTCCGTTGTATTATATAGTGAATCTATATTTTCAATTCTCTAGGTTCTTCACTTCTACATGAGTCATATCATTTCTATAAATCCAGGTCTACAGAGCTACTATAGCTAAATTAACGGTTCTATCTCTATATCTATATTGTTGCCGGGGATCTATAGCTCCGACAGGACTAGCTCAAGCCCTAAAGACAACAATTCTCGCTATATCAGTGGGTCGTTGCAGTATTGTCTATGACGTCACGTGGTACATGCGATTATCCGGAGAGAATGAGGTTGATTGCGGTTCATTTAGCCAAAGCGTAGAGATTTCCCATGCAGGAAAAAAGACGTCGATCATTCCCCTTTCGGTCTAATTATGACTCGTGTACAGAATTTTCACGCTGGTCAACAACCCCCAGCGACGAAAAAGCGGAGAGCCTCCAGGTTATGGGCTGAGAATTGTGGAGAAAAGCCCACACCCCGGCTGGGCGCCGTCTGGCGTTTGCTTGTCTTGATCCCGATGATTCGGAAGAATTTGCCGACTGGTTCCACATAGTGGTACTTTGAACCAGATCGCTTATAAGAGAAAAACGGGGTGGAGGGTTTGGAACGGTACTGACTACCTGAAGCCAAGAAACACTACGCTGCATCGTGGATGACGGTGCTGAACGGCAGTCGCAACGCTCCACTTACTGCGGCATTTTATTCTGCCATGATAGCTTTAATGTTGGGGCGTGGGACACATAAATCCAGCATGCGTGCCGCTGAAAACCCTGTCCCTCTGAACTGAATTCCATAGTCTCTCGGCTAGATTGCAGCAATGCCGCCCTATTCTTCATATCTGGGCGCTTTCAGCGTCTTTGCGACGGCCGCTTTGGGCGAGTCGCGATCGTCATGGACTCTGGGACAGGGTATTGAAGTCAATTGGCAGTCGGGTCCCCAACAACTGTCGATTGTACAGGCTAATAAGACCCTGCTCGCTACCGTACCTGGCCAGAGCTTCCTCAGTGCAAGTGCTGGAAAAGACCAATGGGCCGGTGCGAATGGCAATTTCAACTATACCAACGTCGATCTCAATCGTTGCCAGGGTCAGAATGTCACTGGAATCACTCACTCTCTGCGTGGCGATAGTATCAGTGGTGAGGATGTGTCCATCCAGGGATACTTGCAACACTGTGGGGATCAATCTATAGGGTATAGCATAAGCTTCTGGGTGCCCAAGGCCCTTCCGGATCGTGTGGCTTTCAACATCAGTGTCGAGCCCGGTCACAAGCGCATCTCTCCAATGAAAAGCTGTATGTGACCTTTGGGTCCGATGCCTCGGAGGACTTTTACGGTCTAGGTGCTCAGGCATCCTTTGCGTCCATGAAGAACCAGACTATCCCCATCTTCACCCGTGAACAGGGTGTGGGCCGTGGCGATCAGCCCATCACCGCGCTTGAAAATTCTCAGAGCTGGTTCAGTGGTGGTAATGAATTCACGACCTATACTGCTATCCCACAATATATCAGCTCTGCTGCGAGAGTTTTCTACCTTAGGGAAGAAGACACGGCCTTTGCTGAATCGACTTCACTAAGCCCAATGCTGTGACTGTGCGATACGATGCTCTGACTGTTGGCGGACACGTGATGCAGGCGGATACCATGCTCAATGCCATCACAATGCTCACCGATTACGTTGGCAAAATGCCTACCTTGCCCGAATGGGTCGATCACGGCGCCATCTTGGGTATTCGAGGCGGACAGGAAAAGGTGGAGCGCATCGTTAAAGAGGGTCTGAAGCAGGACTGCCCTGTTGCGGCAGTGTGGCTTCAAGATTGGTATGTTCTTCGAAAGCTTGAGCCTGTTGGAGAAACTTCGCTAACATCTGTAGGTCTGGCACCCACTCTCAAGAAGCACCATACGGCAACATGCAGATTTCTCGTCTCTGGTGGAACTGGGAATCCGACAGCAAACTGTACCCGACCTGGACTGAATTCGTGCAGGATCTTCGTGAGGAATATGGCGTTAAGACCTTGGCCTACATCAATCCCTTCGTTGCCAATGTCAGCTCTAAGGCCGATGGTTACCGTCGCAACCTCTTCCTCGAGGCCACCAAGGGTGGATATATGGCTCAGAATTCGACCACGAATGGCACCGCCATCATCTCCAGTGGCAAGGGAATCCAGGCCGGCATTTTGGATCTTACTAACCAGAAGACACGCTCGTGGTTTGCTGATGTCCTCCGCAAGCAAGTTTGGAACGCCAACATCTCCGGTGTCATGTGGGATTTCGGAGAGTACACTCCCATTACCCCAGATACCAAGCTGGCCAACATCTCTTCAGATGCTTATTTCTACCACAACCAATATCCCCGTGACTGGGCCATCTTCCAGCGCTCTGTGGCCAAAGAAATGCCCCTATTCGACGAGATGGTCACATTCCACCGTTCTGCTCGCTCGGCTCTAACCGCCACCTGAACCTGTTCTGGGTCGGAGATCAAACTACCGTCTGGGGCGTCAATGACGGCATCAAGTCTGCGGTGACCATTATGGGCCAAATGGGTATTTCTGGCTATGCTCAGAGCCACTCTGACCTCGGTGGCTATACCACCGCCTTCCACCCACCTACCATGGCCAACTCATCCGGCGCCATTGGACGTTCGGCAGAGATCCTCGGACGTTGGGGAGAACTGGCCGCAGTCTCCAGCGCGGTCTTCCGATCTCATGAAGGAAACGTGCCCGAGGTCAACGCTCAGTTCTACAGCAACAGCTCCACATACTCCTACTACGCATACAACGCGCGGATGTTCAAGAGTCTCGGCCCCTACCGCCGTCAGGTCCTGAACACTGAAAGCAAGACCCGCGGCTGGCCTCTCCTGAGAATGGCAGTCCTTTATCACCCAGACGATGCCAAGGCCCGCCAGATCAGCTACCAGAGCTTCTACCTCGGCGCTGATCTTTACGTTGCTCCAGTGTTGGACCCCCAGACTACCAAGTTGAATGTGTATCTACCCGGCACTGACCGACACCGCACGTACACCCATGTCTGGTCCGGCAAGACTTACCACGCTGGACAGACTGTGCGTGTTGATGCGCCTTATGGAAAGCCGGCTATGTTTGTTGTCAACCATGCGCGTAGCCCTCAGCTGGATGTCTTTTTGAACTTTGTTCGCAAGGAGAATGGAACGGTCATTCGTGTTTAGATATTGAGCTACCTTTACTAAATTATTAGCGAGGAATTAAAAATAAAGTACCCAGCCTCCAAGAACTGAATTATCTTGACGCTCTAGTTGTTCATAACTGTTGTAGTACCCGACGTGGCCTTCCTGAACGTAAGATTATGTATGCGGACCCAATACTAGCCTCAGTCTCAGTCTCCTAGTCTTGTCTCGTAGCGCAGCGGCAAATCTCAGAATGCACTGTAAAGTCACCCTATGCGACCTTGAGTTGGAGAATAAAGCTTCTTGTCATCTTTGAGTGCTCGGGGTATAGAGCATTGAGTCAGGTTGAAGTGAACACATGAAGGTCGTATATGCAGCGGTAAAGTCTCCCCAACGGACACCACCACGCCAGTGGAACCCCTTGAAAGATTCTCTAACACCGTAATGGAAAGCAAATATACAGAAGAACTAAAGAACAAAACCAATATAAACAAACGCCAGTATATAGTCGTAGATTCCAGCCATACCCTTCAAGCCAGTTGCCGAATATATCAACAACCGCCGATTACGGAGCCCCAGTCAGCATTTCTGACTGATTCAGACAGCTTGTCCAAGTAAGGTGCTTATTCAGAACCTAATCTGAAGTGCCTTGACAGATTAGTTCACTAGAGGACCAGCTAGTAGCGAATACCTGGCTTCTATTGGATCATACTTAGCCTCAATTAACTCGGCATGCACGATCTGCATCTAAGATTATACTTGATCTCATTGGTTGTAGCTTGGATTTCGCATCTATAGCTGTATGTACATACCCCGTACTCCGTACTCCGTACATGGAAGGCTGTGCTGCGCTATTATACTGATCAGGGATGATCGGTTTGTTCACTAGGTTCCTTTGATTCTTCTGGAGTCCTGTTCCCGATGGGCTATGATAGGAAGACAACAGGCAACTGGCTTCTACTTCGTTTTGATATATTATATCAGGATTGTTGGTTTTCGCTCATGTATCAATAAGTGTTCTAGAGCTCTCCGGTTTGAAAGTGATGAAATGGGGAGATCTGTGGTTATTTCACTTGGAGCACGACTCTTATCACATCATGAAGTCAATCTATGGATTTCCGTTGAAAATGTGTTTTGGACAGGTCAATGGCGATGTGTTAAATCAGGTTGAAGAGTTTTGACCAGCTGGCTGGAGATATTCGAAGCGTCGATGTGAGGTTCTTGAACTCTTAGTCTTACGGAGCTGATTCCACTACATGACACTCTTACGACAAATGCTCAGAAATTGCTTGAACGTGGTATAATGAAATTAATTAACTGGAATATAACAAGGCATCATGGTACAGTCATAACTTTTTCCCAAATCCCAATGCACATTACATTTACTTCTGGTTCTCGGGGCGAAGGGCACGGACGGCCTTTCCAGCGCGCCAGATCTCGAGATCACGGATGTCCTGCATCTCCTTCTCGTACTTCTCGCGGTAGTCCTTCTGGGAGTTGTAGTCCAGAGAACGCTGGGTCTCGGTGCCGTCACGCACGCTGTCGTAGAGCTCGTTGAAGAGGGGCTTGAGGTTGTCCTTGAAGCGGCTGGACCAGTCGATGGCACCACGACGGGCGGTGGTGGAGCAGGCAGCGTACATCCAGTCCATGCCGTTGGCACCGATCAAGGGGTAGAGAGACTGAGTGGCCTCCTCGACGGTCTCGTTGAAGGCCTCGGAGGGGCTGTGGCCACGCTCACGGAGGACCTCGTACTGGGCGAGGAACATACCGTGGATACCACCCATCAAGCAACCACGCTCACCGTAGAGGTCGGAGTAGACCTCCTTCTCGAAGGTGGTCTCGTAGAGGTAACCGGAACCGACAGCAACACCCATGGCGATGGCCTTCTCCTTGGCCTGGCCGGTGACGTCCTGGTAGACGGCGATGGAGGAGTTGATACCACGGCCCTCACGGAAGAGAGTGCGGACGGTACGGCCGGAGCCCTTGGGGGCGACGAGGATGACGTCAACATCCTTGGGGACCTCGACCTTGGTGAGATCCTTGAAGACGGGGGAGAAACCGTGAGAGAAGTAGAGGGTCTTGCCCTTGGTGATGAGGGGCTTGATGGTGGGCCAGGTCTCACTCTGGGCAGCATCGGAGAGCAGGTTCATGACGATGGAACCCTTCTCAATGGCGGTGTTAACGTCGAAGAGGTTCTTGCCGGGAACCCAGCCGTCCTGGACGGCCTCCTTCCAGGAAGCACCATCCTTACGGACACCAACGATGACGTTGAGGCCCTGGTCACGGAGGTTCAGACCCTGACCGTGACCCTGGGAACCGTAACCGATAAGGGCCAGAGTGTCATTCTTGAAGTACTCCTGGAGCTTCTCACGAGGCCAGTCCTCACGCTCGTAGACGGTCTCCTCGTGACCAGCGAAGGAAATGTTCTTGACACCACGGACGGGAGTAGAGGACAGAGTCACACGGGGGAGGGCATTGGCAGCAGCCTTAGCCAGGGCGGGACGAGGGAGGGCGGCGGAGACGACGGAGCGAGGTGCGGCAACACGGGCCAGGCGGAGGGCGCGGGGGAGTCCACGAGCAGCCATTGTGAATTGATATGGAGGAATTGAGGATGGAGGAAGGGCGGATGAGGGAAAGAGGGGAGATTGGAATGGGATTGATAGTAAAAGAGAATGGAGAAGAAGAGAGAAAGGGGAGAGCTGGAGGTGGATGTGACTCGCATTTTAAGCTGGTTGCTGGGGTCGTCGGGGCGACACGTGATCCGGAGTTGCTGCGGACCTCCCCGGCCGATGTCGGATTGGAAGCTCCCTGATTGGCGGGGACAGCTCGAGCGGGATTATGTCAGCCCTCGATCGGGGCCGTTTTTGTCGTGCTAGAGGCTTCCTTGTAGTCATACTCTATCAGCCCGCACCTCGTTTCCGTGGAACGCTTGGAGCTGTCCCCCCCGAAGTCGAACAATTAGTCTATGACAGAAAGACCCCTGATTAAACACATGGTGAGTCATGGGCTAGAATCTCCGATCTCGAACCAGGATTTGGTTACCCCACGTCTTTGTTCGCGATGTCTCTCATGCTACGAGTCCTATACTCCGGAGTCCGTACGTACAAACAATGGTCCATGCACTAACCCCAAAACAGGCCAGCAAACACGATGCCTCAGGTGTCCGGCGGTAACTCTCCACAAAACCATCGCCAACGGGCCATATCATCAGAATTCGCGAGGAACTTCTCTCTGCTCTGTTAAACTTTGCCCGCTGCAGCTGGTAGTCCCCACTCCCCATCATATTCTTTTCTCCTTAGTGGGTAATTTGGGTGATCTGGCAATAGTCTTCTCTTTTATCATCCTGACTATTTCCTATTTTACCCCCCAATCCTCGCTATGCGTTGACCATGACTTACTTATCCCGACTCGGTAATATACCAATCATTCAAACCCGGAAAGCGTTGCTTCTCCTGGACTTTCAAAATGACTTTGTGCGACAGTCGGGGGCTCTGCATGTGGCCAACACTGCCGAGTTCTTGGAAACGCTCCCCCAGTTAGCGAGCGCGTTCCGTCGTACTGGCGAAGTCATCTGGGTACGCACGCAATTTGAGTCGTGCCGACCATGGATCGGCCCAGACGAGCAGGAATATGTCGTGTTGGCCCCCGAGACGGCTACCAAACGACTTCGGTCGGATAAACCCCCTGGTCCAACAAGCGTAGATCCCCAAGACCCCGTGGATGAGGAGGCGTTTCTGTCGAGCGAAACATCCAAATGTTGTCGCCCGCAGACGCCAGGCGCACAGTTCCCCGCGCCTATTTTAGCCGCCATTGATGCCGAGTCGGACACCCTGGTAGACAAATCGGACTACTCCGCCTTGCAAAGTCAAGGTCTAATTCTGTCCCTCCGCACTCGTTTTGTGACGGAATTGTATCTGTGTGGCTCTCTGTGTAACGCGTCGGTGTATGCCACCGCTCTCGATGCCGTTCGGCACGGCTTCTCCGTCACCCTGATTGAGGATTGCCTCGGTTTCCGCAGCTTCTCCCGCTATGAGGAAGCAATGCGACGCATGGCCGACATATTCGGGGCCAATGGCATTACGACGGAGGAGCTCTATGAAGAGCTCGACTGGCAGGAAACCGACGCCATCGCACGGAAAGGCGGAAACAGACCGGTTCGGAATGCTACGTCCTCTGGGATTGAGGGGGTCATGGATGATCTTGACGTCAAGCCAGCCAAACCCGCGAAAATGGAAGAACCTGAACCAATGCCGCGGGTTCCTCCCCCCCGTCCTCTCGATGCCAGTCCGGGTGAAGACCCTCTGGAGGATCATGATGATATTTTGGCTTCAGTGGCTCGCACCCGCCACAGTCGAGCGGCGGAGAAGGCGCAGAAGGCGCGCGTGAAAGCGCGCCGAACGCAGAGGGTAGATTCGAAAACCGAATCCACATCGCGCATTGAAAGTCGACGAAGCACGAAATCCAAACCGTCGCGCGATATTCGCAAACCGGGAGATGCGATCGGGGAGGGCGATTCGCGTATCGTCTATGATTTGGATCTTCCCGCCAATGCTTTTGAACAGATCCGCACGGAGGTAGCCTGGCAGAAAATGTACCACATGTCTGGAGAGGTTCCGCGTCTCGTCGCCGTTCAAGGGCAGCCACTGTCGGATGGCTCCATCCCCATCTATCGCCACCCTGCCGACGAATCGCCGCCATTGCAGCCCTTCACGACCACGGTGGACCGAGTACGCATGATCGTGGAACGCATCCTGCGGCATCCCCTGAACCATGTCCTCATTCAGCTCTACCGTGACGGGCAAGACCGTATCTCAGAGCATTCCGACAAGACTCTGGACATCGTCCGTGGGTCCTCGATCTGCAATGTCAGCCTTGGCGCGCAGCGGGTAATGGTCCTCCGTAGCAAAGCCCAATCCCAGGAGGCCGAAGAGGGGGAGTCCAGTCGGGCGACACAGCGGGTGCCGATGCCCCATGAATCCCTTTTCATTCTTGGCGAGAAAACCAATATGCGATGGCTCCACGGTATTCGTCCCGACAAACGCCCCGACACGGAGAAGTCCATGGAAGAACGAGCTTACGGGGGCGAGCGAATCTCGCTCACCTTCCGCCACATTGGCACGTTCTTGAATCCCGCCGGCGACACAATCTGGGGTCAGGGCGCTGTGTCCAAAAGTCAGGACCAGGCCAATGCTGTGATCCATGGCAATCCCGCGGAGACGGGGCGGCTCATTCGCGCATTCGGGGAAGAAAATCACGCGATTGACTTTGACTGGGACGCCGTCTACGGGGCAGGGTTCGATGGGGTTAACTTTGTCACTGCGTCGGCGAACAAGCTCGTCGCCGGCGAAGATGTTGTGGCCAATCTGCGAGTGCTGCTCTGTCTGAGTGAGCATGGCATCCGGTACAATCTGGAGACCCCCAGCAGCGGGCGGAACGCTGGACCTTTGTATGTCGATACGGACGGCACCAAGGTTTCTGGGGATATCAATATTCTGACCCACTTGAGCCAGCGTTCTACGGAGTCAAACCGACCCGGGGTAGAGCCATTGCATGGGGGTGATCGATTCGCGGAGATTGACGAACTCTTGAAGAGCTGGCGTGAGCATCAGAAAGAAGAAGAAGAGGGTCATCTGCGGGCTTTGGATACATGGGAGCGGGCCCTGATTGGCAAGTATTATTTGAACGGGCCCACGTTTGGGCTGGACGACTGTGCACTTTGGCCGGTTTTGAGGGAGATTGTACAAGCCCGTGGGCCATTCTCAGTGAAGGCCTATCGCAACTTGGCCCAGTACTACCAGCGGGTCGAGAACCGTGGCTTTGTCAAGAAATCGCTGGAGGAGTTGAGCTAATCATGTTTACACGTTGGTTCCGATCTATTTCACGATACGAAGTTATGAAGACCATGGCGTACCTATAATGCCGACGGATCTGGAATCTGTCTTTACCCAAATTGTCATTTGGATGCGTGGGTATCGAGAACTATATACATAATACGCTATAGCATATTCCCTGCCAATCCACTATTTCGCCACAAAGCATTACCATCTACAGACAGTCGCCCGGGAAATCCGTACTGGTCAAGACATCCTTGAGCGCGACATTGCTGCATGCCACCGCTTTCAGGAACGCATCCGCCACGACCTGCGCCCCTTCCGGGCTGGTATGGGTGTGGTCATTGGGGTAGTAGGAGTTGACCGTGTCCGCCCCTAGTGCCTCATACCGGGCGGCCACGTAAGCGCCGTGGTCCACATAGTCCACGCCCGCCGTTTCGGCCGCCAACCGAGCGTACTCGACAAAGCGAGACGGCGAATAGACATACTCGCCCGTCTCCCAGACATTGTTCGGGGTCTGGCTGGAGATAAGGACCTTGGCTCCTTTGCCCACGAAGGTCTTGGACGCGTTCTCCAAGTATGCTGGGAACGTGAGGACGGTTTCCGCTTGGCCGTCGTAGACGGTCTCGCACGTCTCCGAGCCCGTCCCGGGGCAGTCGGTGCGACCGTTGTCGGTGCTCAACGAGCCCCCATCATTGTGTCCGAACTCAATCACCACGTAGTCACCTTCTTGCAGGACGTCGGCGATGGCATCGAAGCGGCCTTCGCGGGTATAGGAGCGGGCGCTACGGCCGCCGATCGCTTTGTTGGAGACGGTGACAGATACGTCGTCGACATAACTTCCCCACCCTGCATTTGTCAGTTCGCATTCCACGCGCGGTGCTGTTCGGGGCATTCTCACCGTCGGTGCCTGACCCGCCGCCGTTTGCAGCCATGGTCGAGTCCCCAGCCAGATAGATGGTGGCACCCAGGACGCCGGGAAGAAGGGACAGCGGCAGAAGGACGGATCTCATGATGGAAATCGAGATATTCTGTAATGAGAGTAGTAGTAATAGTACAGTGAAGAATCTATGGACAATCAACTACAAGCACACGACCAGCTCCAAGCTATTTATACCCAAGGCCAAGTCCACACACAACCCCTGCCACGGAATATCTACATGTAGAAACGGAAAAAAGGCCCAGGAGTACAACCCAAATCAAAATAAAAATTAAAGAACAAAATAAAATAAAAACACCCATCTCCAACCTCCCAATCACCACCACCCCCATCTCAGGTACCAAAGCGTATCAGCCACGGACCGACGGAAGTTTCACCCCTTCTCCTCTCCAAACACACAACGCCGCAGGAGCAGACCCAACCCCACCCCTCCGTCACTTCTACATAGTTTAACCAGTACTCGGGGTCGATCTCGTCGTACCCCCGTCGTGCATAGATTAGCCCGCGGTTCTATTTGTGGGAACCGACGCCCCGTCCCTCCCCCGCATATATTATTAGTGGAAAACGGGGAAGCTTATCCGCTCCGTGAAGAATCACTCGAGTGACGTGCTTGCCCTTGTGCCCCCGCCTTGAGCAATACGAGGCCCTTTGCTGGTTTTTTCCACCAACGGGTTATTGTTCGGGGATGTGGAAGTTCGGGGTGTTTTGGACCGAGGGGATGTAGGTATAGTCTTCTAGTAGTTATATGGTACGGGGTGTAGGATGGCTGTTCTTGAGTAGAGAGAGACTGGTATACGAGGTCAATCAATAGGTCTGATGTATGATACAGTACTATCTAGTCCCATGCAATATACCCCGATATAGATATCTACAGCAGTATCGATGGTAATGATTACAGCTTCTCAAACGTAGGCTTCCTCTTCTGGATCCCCGACAGCAACGCCGCACTGACATCCTTCGTCTGCAGCGCAGCACTGTTCCAGACACTCGTATACCGAAGACCTACATAGCAAGTCAGCACACTTTCGCAAACCCTACCCAGCCAGTACCAACGCAACAACAAGAAAGACATATATCAAAAATAAAGGGAAAAAAAAAAGAAGGGAAAAGGAAAAAGGAAACCTACCATCCTCCACACTCCGATCCCGACTCCAGTTCAGAATATCCTTCGTCCCAAACACAGCAACCGGACTCTTACTAGCAATCAACCCGGCGATCTCCAGCGCCCCCTTCACCACTTCCTCCTTACTGCCAAACACCTGACTCACAAACCCAACCCGCTGCGCCTCCTCGGCCCCAAACACCCTCGCACTCAGCGCCACCTCCTTCACCCACCCGAAATTCCCCACCACCTTCGGTAACCGACTCAGCGTCCCGATATCCGCCGCCAGACCGATATCCACCTCCTTCACGGCGAACTTGGTGTCCGCAGCACAAAGCCGCACATCTGCCGCCGTGGCGATGTCGACCGCCAGCCCGAGCGAGAAGCCATGCATGGCCACGATGACGGGTTTCTCGCAGCGCTCGATGGCCGAGATGCAATCCTGGAAGGAGGTGATGTGGCGGCGCAGGTGGAAGGCTTTGCGGGCGGGGTCTGTTTGGCTGTCGTCGTCCGAGGAGAGAAGGCCCTGGCTGGCGGCTTTGACGTCCAATCCGGCTGTGAAGGCTTTGGGGCCGGCGCCGGAGAGGACGATAGCTCTGACGGCTGGGGAGTGAGAGAGGTGGTTGAAGATCGTATGGAGTTCGAGCCACATGCTTTTTGTTTTCGTGTGGTTAGCTTCTGGGCTGTGTTTCTGGGGGTGGGTTGGAGTTACGCTTCAAAGAAGGAGTTCATTTTGTCGGCACGGTTAATCTCGACGTGCGCGACATGTTCTTGGGGGTAGGTTATGTTGAAGTATTTGGGGTTTAGGGAGGTCGTCATTTTGGATTCCTGCTTTGTGTTGGGTATATGTTGGTTTTTGGTGTTATTGGTGATACCAAGGGTTGACTGTTGGGCAGTACAATGAAGGATATAGATTGGAATGATATATACAGTGCCAATATACTGATATGTACAACAATGTGGGTATATGCAGGAGAAGAATTGAGGGCGTGGATTGAGGATGAAGATGATCTGATAACCGTCGGTTGGACTTCACATGCCTCGGTTCACGGAAATGGTCCACGCTTTCGTGGTTGTATCCATGGATCGGAGCATTCCTCCAGGCTATTACTCAATTCAGTAGAGGGGGTAGTTATAAGTTCTTATGTTGTATGTCATATTTGGAATGTTCATGTTCATGGTGTATGTGTATGCATACTTTTGTCTACATGTTGTGTTGTTGACTTGCATTGAGTTGGATTGAGAGGGGAAATGCACATGATGTCATTTGATCACATAATCATTTATGTGGCTTGGCATTCACGTGGCTTAGTCAGATGTGTATACTTCGTCAGTTACTACGGGTGTTCCTACGTTTGTAGAGCTTTACTGGAGAGAAATTCAAATAGAGAATTAATTAAGACAGTGAACTGATAAAGTACAAAGAGGCAGAATTAAGAAATGCCAGCAAATCCATCATCCACCACCACCACACTCCAGAGTCAAAGGAATGAAAACGAATCAACATCTTCAACTTCAACGACTGAGGTAGACCTTTTTTTTTTGGTTTTTGTTTTTTCGGTCGAATTAAATAAAAGTCAAACGGGAAATTATCACTGTCGGTGATGCTCAACCTGATTGCCCAACTCCCATGCTAGGTCGTAACTCGTTTCATCTCGCGGCTCGTTTACTCGATGGTGATCTTCTTGCCAGTGTAGGCAGCAGCCTTAGGCACGACCAAGGACAGGATACCATTTTTAAGGCTGGCCTTGACGTTTTCCTGGTCAACACGAGACGGGAAGGTGAAGGTGCGGTGGAATTCGCCGACAGAGCGCTCGCTGACCCAGAAGCGAGGCTTGTCCTCGGCCTTGGTCACTGCCTTGCTCTCGCCCTCCGCCTCCTGCGTTTCGCCGGCCTCAGGGGTATGGTATTCGCGCTCAGAGCGGCCCTTGATCACGAGGGTCTGCGGGTCAGAGAATTGAATGTCGATGTCCTTCTGGGCAATGCCAGGGAGTTCACCGTCGAAGTGGTAGGCATCGTCGGTCTCACGGACGTCGAAGCGAGGTGCGAAGGAGCGCACGCTGGACACCTGGCCACGGCTCTGGCGGTGAGTGTCGTAGTCGTCCAAGAGACGGAAGAGAGGAGAGAAGTCGCCAGCGGTAGGCATGGTTCGGAAGAGAGACATCTTGGTGGTTTGTTGAGGTAGGATGTTTAGAAGAGTAAGTAGAGGCAGGTTTGTTCTGGTAGAAGTAGTAGTGGAAGAAGTGTTTGGTTTGTAGGCGATTGCTGTTGTTCTTGTGTTTGATTGCTGTTGTTCTGATGGAGAGAAGTGCAACTCGACGAGGCCTTGTGCCCCCTTATATGTCCTGTCAGCCATGTTCCAGAAACTGCGATTCACCAACAGCTGACGTGCTGGTGGCATCACTTCAGGATGACCTGGACGGTGCCTGAGGTGTCGAGACGTTTCGAGCTTCCACTGGGCGCCTCTGGTTGGTGCGGGAGCCTTCTGGGCGTTTCGATGCGGTCACGTGATGGCGATCGCCGTTGGAACCGTTGGAGCAACTGCGCTTCCCCAGGTGGAGTCTCCGTCCGGCTAGAACCTTGACCCTTGGATAGCCCGTACCTTCAATCATACGACGTCTGCAGTGCGATCCGATTTGATTGGCTGTGAGACCTCTAGATGGCGATTCGTAGTTTGGATATCTAGAAAGTACTGTACACTCTTCGCACTCGTCACCTGGTTCTGGACACTTCCAATGGACAAAAACAGGTAATCCCATGCCAGGTCAATACATAGAAGGATCTTCTATACGTCAACTCCAGTTCTATGCGAGCACTAAGCAAGGAACAATCAATACTGTTGGCAAGCTTGAAATTCCTCGGTCTTTCTCTTGATGCCGATCCGAGACAATGCGATGGGAAGCACTGAGCCCGTCGTTGCCACTTCCTTGGACCAAATCTTCCTTTGTATCCGCCCTGTTGACCAGGGTGAGTCATTGGCCGATTACATGATGGGCATACGTGGCGCCTCGTGAATTCACCATATGGGGTGTTCTCTTTCGATTTTGGTAGTTGTATAACGGTCGCGATGTCGTACGACACTTCGAATCATCCTCATCCCTCTCGGGTATAACGACAAAAGGATGGCGTCGGTGTGGATGCAATGCGATGGAGATATATTGAAATATCCAAATTCATTCATCGGATTCCGACTCATCGGGTTGCATGACTTTTTCATCCAGTTCCTGCGCGTCGTCAGTATAGTGACCAACCGAACCGTCTTCTGAAGCATACCCTTCCCAGCCGGATCTTCAGGTTTTGCAGTTGGCTTTCCTTGATAACCAGGTGGCGGTCATCATCTAGGTCCTCCACGATGTAGTCGTGTCTTTCTTCGTCGTACTTCAGGATAATGGCTTTCACGGATGGATCGCATTCGATCAGGACTCCTGTCGGAACCTCATGTTAGCTCGGTCGGAAGGGATGGTAGAGGCCATATGCGCATACCTCGAACAGCACGTGGCATTTTGGTAGATTATAGGGCGGTACAAATCCAGTAGTTGATCAAGCGGGTGCGTAAATGTGTAGCAAGTCGCAAAAGCGATAAGATCACAATGATCGCGGAGAAAATCTGCAGAACATCTTCGGCCTACCGCCAAGACCGTGTCAGGCACCAAGGCTGCGAGGTTATGCTATGGACTCACCGTTCTGTAGAGACATATTCCATCTAGCAAGAGATAGATTTCTGAGCATATATACATTCTTTGAATTTATTTTAATATGAATTACTTGGATATTGCCTAGTGTACCGATATTCTGGGATATCTGGCATTTTGGTTGTAGGGGATGTGAAATAGGGTAGGCTGGCCTGTAGAAAGATATATATCTTTGAGTTGTGAACAGTAAGATATAGAAGATTACCGGTCGCCACATCGCAGAGCCTTGTGTAAGGATTTCTAGCCATCTTTAACATATAGTACATGCTTAACAAATACATCCAACCAGAAAATACTCCTCTAACCCCTCAATTGCTCTCAAAAACTTACATGGAAGACTGAACTCTGTCCAGCGTCTCTATGATTATCAGCTAGCTTAATATTATTAACTAGATAGCAGGTTTTCAACAATCGGCCGGATGGTGTAGTTGGTTATCACGTATCGTTAACACCGATAAGGTCCTGGGATCGAGCCCCAGTCTGGTCATTGCTTTTTGCTTTGCAAGCACTCACTTGCTAGTGATTCTACGCATCTATCTCTTGTCTCCTCTTTCATCTTCTCTTTTTATTCTCTTCCACCAATGCAACACTTTTCCTTTCACTACCCCACGTCTATTTCCGTGGTACATCCTAGTATCTTGGCACCTATCAACCGTTGTTGATCCTTGATTATCTTATCTCCGGCTCTGATTATAAATGCACATCCGGCGCCACCCCGTAGTGCTTATTTAAGTATTTGTGCATATTTCCCCAGAAAAGCACGTGTGAATCCTCTTCTTGCACGTCATCTCAATTGGTAGCGATATATGCCCAATTGAGGGGAAATTCGAGGCCTTCTTCCCGACTACCTTCCAGTCTTTCAGAGCCTTATACCATGGTTGCAGAACAACATACGGAGGAATTGCCCTCGGAGGCAACGCCTCTCCTCAATAATTCGCCGGCCGAGTTAGACAAGAGCAATGTTCCTATCTCATTCCCCAGAGGTTTTACAATTGTGTCGGCAATGGGACTTCTCCTCTTCACCCAAGGTATTTCCGACCTAGCATGCAACCGCCTTGGGGCTGCAAATGACTGAGCCCGTTCATAGCTACGAACATGTCCATGATGACAACGGCCCAGTCGGATATTGCAGCAGATCTAGACGCGTTTTCAGAAACAACATGGTTTACCTCGGCCTATCTAGTATGTTAAGCTCATGGTAATAGCCTGTGCAGAGTCTCTGAGTTAACCCACCTTTATCGGTAGATAGCACTGTCTAGTGTCACCCCACTTGCTGGTCGACTCTCCCAAATATTTACTCCCCGTGTATACGTTCTCTTCTCTTGTGCACTTCTATCGATAGGTCTTTTCATCACCGCAGCTGCTGGAAATCTCACCGTCTTCCTTCTAGGGCGGGCACTTACTGGATGTGGAGGCGGCGGTATAATGGTCACAACAATAATCCTTACACTTGACCTGACCAGCAAAAAACGGAGAGGGTTATACATTGGGCTGATCAATGTTGGCATGACGACCGGTGTCTCTACCGGTGCGGTGCTGGCTGGATTACTAACGCCGGCTTTTGGATGGGTACGTTGCCCTAATACAATCTCTCAAGAGTCTCACTAAAAATTCCACCAGCGCATTATCTTCTGGTTTCAAGCACCACTTTGCCTCACCCTGGGCCCTATTCAGTACCTTGCTATACCCCCTAGTTCAACGGATAACGAGCCCCTCTGGGGTCGTGCCTTGATACGGAAACTGGCTAAAGTCGACTATGGCGGAGCCTTAGCTTTGGTAAGAACACATCGGCGAGCTTAACGTGGCAGCAGCCGCTGACTGTCCATAGAGTATCTCCGTCTTCTTGCTGCTCTTCAGCCTTGCCTCGCCAGAGATTCAACTTGCACCGTTGATCTTGTGTCTTGTCCCCTTCGCCGTATTTTTGTTGATTGAATCCCGATTTACGTCGGAGCCCATAATCCCGGTAGAAGTCCTTGGCATGCGAAGTGTTGTCTTGACCTGTCTCTCAGGCCTTGCTTCAATGATGGCCCGCTGGTCAGTTCTCTTCTTCACACCCGTGTACGCAATGGTCGTCCGAAACTGGTCGCCGGCTTCTGCCGGCCTGATCCTAGTGCCGACAAACGCTGGTTTTGGTCTCGGAGGCCTTCTCGTAGGCTGGTTGCATATTCGCAAAACCGGAAGTTACTATATGTGAGGGCTACCGAGTCATGTCCTGCTGCTACCAACCCTACTGACTCGTTCTTCAAACAAATAGTTCGAATATCATTGTTTTCTTGTCGTTTGCACTGGCGAACCTTGTCCTCGCAATTCTCTCAACACCTACCTCACCTACTATCGCCTATCTGGCCGTGACATTCCTTGACGGTCTTGCGGCCGGCGCGTTGATGAACTACAGCTTATCTCATCTCCTGCATCTCACCAGACCAGACGTGCATTATGTCGTGAGCGCCCTGATCGCCATGTCGAGAGGCTTCGCGGGAAGCTTTGGCTCTGCCATTGGCGGAGGATTCTTCCAACGCCAGTTGAAAACATCCTTGGAGACCGGATTCGCAGCCCATGGTCTACCAGAACGGGATGAACTTATCCGCAAGCTGCTCGGTAGCCCGGCCCTGGTAAAGAGATTAACTGGGGTTGAAAGGTTAGTCGCAGTACAGAGCTATGAACAAGCGGTTAAAACACTGCTGCTGGGAAGCTGTGTTCTGGCCCTGGCGGCAACGGTCGCCCAAGCGGGCACAGGCTGGAGACCTGCCCGGGATGATGGAAAAGTAAGAGATGATCTCGAGGATACTGGAGACCGGGAGTAGAATCCTACTTTTCTCTTTTTCGAAGACTGTATATATCGCTATGAATTTGTTTCTCGGTGGGTAATTTATGTCTGTTCAGGATAGTCGAGCGGCCCGATACATCGAAAGATGGTATCCTTTCATACAGTGGCGAATCCTGTCCAAGCTGTGCACAGAGGTAGTCACCATCTGAAACATATAATCCATAGCCATGAAGAGTGTGATCATAGAAAGTACAGAGAAGGTGGCCAGAGTCCATACAAAGGTGCGCAAGCTAATCATCCACCCGACAGAGTTAGGTCAAGTCGGGTACTATGACACAACCACCCCCCAATGAGTGTATGCTGGTAGAACGGAGTTGATTGTGATGCCACATGCCTGCATGACATGTACACATGGGAAAAGATATTGGAGTAGATTCGACCAAGGTAGTGCAGATGGCCATTTGCATGGATTACATTATCTCGGCGGATGATATCCGCAAAATCTGATTATTACAATCTCAACATCAAACTCGGCTCAACGGTTTTCTCCTCCCCCCTTGGGTTCTCATATGAAAGGGAATAAACCCTGAAATGATAAATAAAGCCCTGCAATACATAGTTGTCCAGCGTCGGTAACCCGTAACTTAGAATTCTGAGTCCATTAGACCTACCGACAACATGCTCTCGATTAACACCATGGCCGATTTCAGCATAACACCTGCTCGCCTTCTAATTGCGGCGGCAGTATTGCTACCGTACTTACTTCTTGTGAAGCGGCTTCGTTTCCAACGTGCCCGCAAAATCGAGGCGAAGTTCAACGGGCGTCCTCTGTCCAACATGACCGTGAAGGAAGCCCATGAGATCTTCCGCGAACTGCGAGAACTGGAGTTCCCGTATACCCTGCACAGCGCCATGAAGCTATCATTACTGAAAGTGAGTTTTCTTACACGAGGTTATGGTAAAATTTGAAGCTAATGTAAGGGGTCAAGACCGGGTCGATTCCTACAATGACCAAGTTGTTCGTCGCCACCCGCCAGCTCAACGAGAAGAATGCGTCCAAGCGGGCTGCGGATACCGAAGTGGTCCTCAATGAGGTTCATGACAGGGAGCCCGGCTCTGAGTCCCATCTAATGGGAATTGCACGGATGAACTACCTGCATGCTCGGTATCGCAAGGCGGGTAAAATCTTGGATGAAGATATGCTGCATACCCTTGGCTCTGCGGTTGTGGATATCGTCAGGGGTGTTGATAGGAATGAATGGCGTCGGTTGACGGATGTAGAGAGATGTGCCATTGGCGTGTTCCATAAGGCTCTGGGTGACGCTATGGAAATCCCTTTCACGTTCCTTCCTTCTCATGAGACTGGTTGGAAGGACGGGATACACTTCACCCAGGAGCTCTATGACTGGACGCTGGCATATGAGAAGGTGGCAGCGCAGCCGACAGATTCGACCCGGTACATTGGTCGGAGACTGATGGAGTTGGCCAAATGCAATATGCCTGCGCCGCTGAAGCCATTGATCGAAAGCGTTGTCGTTGCCAAATTAGAAGAACATAGCAGAATAAGTATGGGGTGAGTTTTTGGCGTCTGATATCTCCGTAAGAGCTATTTGCTAACCCCAGGTGAAGATTTGAAAAACCAGGTATTCTCGTCTCTATATTCGCAAAGAGTATTCTGGTAGTGCGAAAGTTCATACTGCGTTATCTCAGCTTGCCCAGACCGGATTCCAAAGCTGTGCATGTTTTGAGTGATTCCCCCGATCCGACCACGGGGCTGTATACATGGAATCTCTGGATCGAGCATCCATGGTATATCAAACCCACCTTTAAGCACAGATGGGGACCAAAGGCCCTTCTAGTACGGCTCTTTGGGAATGGGGCTGTCCCTTCAGAGGCTGACTCGTACAAGGAGTCAGGGTACGACCTGCGGACCATTGGCCCTGCAGCGCAGGAGAAAAGAGGACAGGATGAGATGGAGTCTATTTTCCAGAGCCTGAAAGGAACAAATTATGCTGCTGGATGCCCTTTCCATACATGAATTTGATAGAACCTAGTGATAAGATCGACTGAACTCAGTTGCGTCCTACGGAATAGAAAGTACTACGTTGTCTACTGAATTCGGTGCGCTTTGCTAAGTTATCAGTTGTTGACAGCTGATGAACTATTGCAAAGTCATAATAATGCATTCAATTGGGACTAGGAGAGTGGATATAGGGCTATAGGCAGAACGAAAACAGAATAAAAAACCAATAAAGATTGAAATCCGATAGGAGGAGTTCTAGTAGCAGGATCCATTCGTTGCGTATTCTCTCCAACCAGGGAATTGACAATGACCCGCACACTGTTGTTGGTGAGTCCCAACAAAAGACTCTAGCAGCGCTTCATTTTCCCGATAAATAGTGGGCAGCCCTGGAAGCTAGTACCCTCTCTCCAAGTCTTTTTTGTCATCTGTGGTCTTCTCTGGCGAACAAGTTGCCTAGTGCTAGAACTATCGACAAGATGATACTTGATAACTGGATACTCATTACACTGTGCATCCTTGTCGCTGCATATAAAAACCTACCCTTCGTGTGGTTTGTGCGTAACACACCCCATAGTGCACTAATGCACTCCAATCTAACATCCCAGCAGATTCGTTTCCTCCGAGCTCTAATCACACGTCTTTTCATAAACCCAATCACACACAAGGAACTCAGCCCAGAATGCCTTTTCCTCCCAGCAGTCCACCGTACGCGATCCCCACTCACAGAATGCGACTACAACATCCACAAGTCCAACTCGACCTACTTTACTGATCTCGACATTTCCCGCGGCAATCTGAGTCTCCTGCTATTCAGCCAACGCCTGTCGTTCCGCCCTACGCCAACGACCGCAGTCATGATCTTGAGCGGAGTGCAGATCGTCTTCCGCAGAGAGATTAAGCCCTACCAGCCGTACGAAGTCTGGTCCCGGGTTCTCAGCTGGGACGAGAAATGGATCTACATTGTGTCGCATTTTGTGAAGAGAGGCGCATTCCCCCATCGCAGGTTCTTGCTGCAGCCGAATACACCCGGGGACCGTACACGGCCGAAGCCTGGTAGTGATCAGTCGCCGGAGAAACAGGTGTTTGCATCGGCTGTGTCCCGGTATGTTTTTAAGCAGGGGCGTAGGACCTTTCCGCCGGAGCAGATGCTTGTTGAATGTGGTCTTTTACCTTCTAAGGATAGTATGTCTGAAGGAGAGGGAGTGGCTACGCGGAGCGGGATTGAAGACCGGAGAAAGAGGGATTTGGAAGCTGCGCAGTTGAAGGTCGGATGGGATGCCGTGCATAATACTTTTGATGGGGATGCTACTAAGGTGCTGGGTCGGTATACTGACCTCCTGTGGCGATGAGTAGGGTACTGGCTAGTGCTACATGACGCTCATAGTGAGTTATAAAGCAAGCATAGACTAGAGATAGATAAATAGACGAGTGAGAGGAATGGAGAGAGTTCTGGTAGTCTTTTTTTTTTTGACAACATTTGCCATCAGATTAAAGCCGGTGGAGATGCTGTTGGGTCAAGTGGAGATATTCTAATCAATAGAGTTAGGGTACGGCGAAGATCTGCCCCAACCGTTGGCCTGGTTGGAGGCCGAGGCGATCGAGATTACATTATCGCCGCAACCAGATAAGAATTTCTCATTTCTGATGCAACGGGCCCTTCAATTCCCGACTTTCTCCTGCACTTAACGTACCGAACCGATGCACTCCACCTTATGACTGATCTAATGGCCAAATAGAAACTTTAAACTATCAGAATCATATTCTTACTCATTAGCCGAGCGCACGGCCTCTAGCCAACATGGAGAACCGGCGTCAAACTCGCCAGGCCTCTCGCTTACAAGATGTACTTTCGGCTCGCCAGTATATCTCAGCCGACCGAGGCGCCTCGGTGGAACCGGAGCCCGTGCCTAACGTTGTGGCAGTTCCTAGCGAGGGACACGAGAAGATCATTTCGTCGCCCGCAGTTCAGAGCTCGGAGTCCCCTACGGAAAAAGCTAATCAGGATCCCCCCTCAGACAGTATGCCAAAGGCGCTATCTCGATTGCATGTGCGGAGAAGTGCGGGGAGACCTAGACTGGATGCTAGCAGTGGTGGGGCTGTTCTGTCAGAGGTATGATTGCGGGAGACTTCGCATGAAGCCAATGTAAGCTTACCCAGATACAGGATCGTCGAGATCAGATCCGACGCGCTCAACGAACCTACAGACTCAAAAAAGAAGCCGCTCTTGAGAAGGCCAAGGAACGTGCAGCAGGTCTGGAGGACAGGCTTACTATGGTTGCTACCGCAGTCGCTGACTATAAAGCTGCGTTTCCGTCCGAGATAAAATCGAGCTATCCTGCGCTCGTTAGACACCTCGATTGCATAAGTGATCTTTTGGCATCAACTTCTGAACGCCTTACACACCCAAGGATACAGACTAGTACCCCCTCAAGTGTTGATTCTGATAAGGATACTTCACAACATAACGCCATGTACAATGACCCTGCTATTAAAGATATTCCTAAGATAGATTGTGGCTGCTTGGAGGATTTTCAACATAAGAAGCATAAGGAGTCTGCGGTAGGCCCCGTGAAGAAGAGACCTCGACATGTGTCTTTCAGTGATGAACTGGAAGATAAATCGCATAGCCGTTCAACACGAATTCAGCACATCGCACGACTACACAGCAAAGACACTCATTACACATACTCGTTCCAAGAAAAAGATTTCTGCCGGAGACTCCAGCGTTACAGCCTGGAGTACGCCTTTCGGTTGTTCACTGACGCACGATCCCACCCGCTTGAGGTTTACAGAGTATTCAGATTGGTTCCCTGCATACAAGACCGGACACAGATGTACCCTTACTTCCGGAAACTTGTCAGTGCCGGAGCAAAAGATGCATTGGAGATACCAAACCTTCCGCTCTATTCTATTGGGGGAGTTGGAACACATTACCCCAGGAAAGATACTTTGGGAAACCCCATATATCCTACTAATACGAGGACCCCTAAACGAGTCCTCGGACTGTTCCAGCCTCTAGGAGGGATGGGCGAAGCCGGCCAAGAGACAGATCATCAGAAATTCTTAGAAGTTTGCGGATATGGCGGTGAATGGTTTGATTGCCGAGATGTGGAGGGATTCCTAAGAGAACAAGGGGTGGATCTGGATGCGTCTTCTCTCTTCCCCTCCGTATATGATCAACAAAGTAGTCAGATATCGCAGTCAACTGAAACTTACGGACAAGCAGGAGATATGGACGCTTACCAGTCGGTACATGATTTTGACTCCCACTCTCACGAAGGTATAGCTAAAGCAGATGTGACGAGATCCAGAGCACTGACATTGCCTAGAAACCGATATCGCGACTTTCTCTGCGTGCCTCAAAAGTCGTATGCTCGACATTGAACAGTTTCTTAGCAGTATGATGATCCTTCATACCATTCTGTTAGGTGTTAGTGCTAACATGCGTCAGTGCTACTCCGCGGGGTTGTTATCCTCGGCCGGCGCCCGGTTTCAGACGGACTGATGTCGAAGCAGCCTTCAAAACTGCATTGATGATACACTGATAAGAGAATAACTACTTACCTATGACTTAACTGTGCCACCATTGTAATATGTTGTTCGATATCTCCTATAAACATATTTCTCTGTGGTATTCTAGTGCTGTATGTGAACTGTTAACGCGATAGAATCATACACTATGAACGATATTCGACTGTAACTACACGCGCAATGGAGCAGATTATGTGACAACATATAAATGCGCAATATCTATTCGGCCTGGCGCTACCTGGCCTCGGAACAGGCAGTCTACAGCTTAGCCTTCGAAGCAACGTCAACGGCTTCCCACCACGGCCAACCAACAGGCGCATTGTGACCCATAGTTCCCTTAAACTCGGGATCCCTCTTCTGCACAAAACTCTTCATACCCTCCGCGCTATCTCGGGACATCAACATACCAAGAAACACCTTCGATTCCAACAAATGGGCTTCCTCCGCGCTCCCCGGAGCCCTATACATCAAATCACGCATCACCTTTGTACTGACAGTAGATGTGCTCGCGGAAATCTCTCCAGCAATTCTAAGCGCCGAGGCAACAGTCTCCTCCGGAGTTGGCAATACCTCCGAGAAGAGGTTGCTCAGCAATGGGTCAGACGCGGTATAAGTTGCGCCGGTCGTCGCCAGGTGCAGCGCACGCGACATTCCCACCAGCTTCGGCAGGAAAAAGGAGCTACAGGCCTCCATTGCTAGTCCGCGTCGCGAGAAAGCGAAACTGATTTTGGAGCTTGCGCAGGCTACTCGGATTGCTGCGGGCAGTGTTAGGGTGATTCCGAATCCTGCTGCGGGGCCATTGATGGCCATTACGGTGGGCTTGGAGCAGTTGTGGATTGCTAGGGCAACTCGCCCGCCTCTAATTATATTAGTGAAAGGCTTTATGTGAAGGATATATGATTGTTGTAGGCATACGAACCCGTCTCTGTGGGACTCGATCTTCGAGGGGTCCTTCTTCAGATCATCGATCAGTGTAGAAAACCCGACTCGGAGGTCAGCGCCCGCGCAGAATGCTGGCCCTGATCCTGTTACAACTACTGCTTTGACGCGGTCATCGGTATCGAAGTATTGGTATGCCGCGATTATCTCTTCGACCATTTCCGCTGTCGCGGCGTTGAACTGGCGCGGGCGATTTAATTTTAGGATGACTACCTTGGTAGCGGTAGGTGAGGCTTCTGGGACATGGGAAATAGATATGGTTTTGAAAGGAAGGGCTTCATATGACTCTGGTGGGTTCGTGGTGTTTGTCATATTGTTTGATGCTTGGGTGTTGATACTGTAGTGCGGTATTCTGATAAGTGGGAAAGAGCAGGGCAAGATTTAGGACAATCACAACATTGATATAGACCATTGTATACATTATCATCACAGGGTAGTAATATAGTTCTAGGAATCCCATGTTTTTTGAAGTCATCTTATGGCCGAGATAATGTAATCGGTCAGGTCGTGCAAGGCTGCTATCCGAGCCTCGGCCTTGATAAAAGTATAACACCTGGGGTAAACATGAAGCAGAGGAGTTCAGGATAGCTTCACTAATTATGCTGAGAAGATATTTTCGAGCCTGTTCCTGCTGCTGAACCTTGATGTATGGGCCGTGCTTTCACTGGCCCCCTTGTGGAGGTGATATGTAAAAAGATAGGAGAGTACTGTGGTGCAAGTAGAAATTCAGAACATAAAGTGCTCAACTAAGGGAAGGCTGTTTCCTTGTAGAGAGATAATGAGAAGGTAAGTAAGTTTTCACAACTAGCTTGGGCAGTAGCCGATGTCTATAATTCAAGGAGAGATACCAATAGGCTCTGTAGTTCCATGGTTCTCGGGCAAAGCAGCAATTCTCCGGACTGTATTAAACTGGTGCATTAACTTGTCACATCTTACCAATGAGATCCACTCTCAGGATCCAGACAATCAATTTCAGCTCCCTTGTGAACATCGAGGGGCAGAAATTCTTCTGTCTGTCTTCGAACCCACCGTTCTATCGAATCATCCTTCCGATTCTGCTAATGCTTCAACTCGAATTAGTCATTCTGAGATGGGCTCTGGGCTCTGGGCTCTGGACTTCTTACTAGACCCCACTTCCTGTAGCTTGGACTATTAAAGCTAATTTGGCACTAACAAGGAATGGATGGCATATCGCTGATCAATGATCATACCATATCAAATTATCACCCTAACAAATTCCTAGGCAACCCACTGAGTGGGCCAGTCGGGCGGGCTGTGACGTTGTCTGTTGCTGTCATTAAGTGGGCCGTGACTCCCCGTGAGCTACTAAAACCCTAGGTCGTTAAGCTTTGGCGAACTAGCGTAACGACCATGCTTGACCGTCGAGAGGGATCATCCATTACCTCCCTGCACCATATTTCGTGTTCGCTAGGCCAAAATAGAAGAATAAGGACAAGGCTGATGCCTCCTCCATATGAAATGTTTTATTTTTATCTTTTAGTTCTTACAGTCTGCCCATCCACAGTTCCCAGACTCCGTCCCGTCTAGCGAAACCATCTCTCACGGACCAAACTCCTCCCCATGCTGGACAACAAGAAGGGAAAGGCCAGCAAGGCGTACGATGGCGATCGAACAAGTCCCTATTGGTCAATATTCGAGGAAAAAGAGGTCTTCAAGAAGACTGATATTGGAGTCAACTTCCGTCAAGTTGGGTGGTTCAATGCGGGTGTGATCTTCATTAAAATACTCTTTGCGACAGGGGTGCTATCACTGCCATCAGCGCTACACTCACTGGGAGCCATAGGAGGTTCAATTAGCATCGTGGCTTGGGGATGCTTCAATACCTATTGTTTTGTCATTCTAGGCAACTTTCGCACAAAACACCCTTACTGCCATTCGATCGCTGACATGGCTGAGGTTGTCGGAGGTATAGTTGTGAAGGAGGCAACGGGGTTATTGTATATCATTGCCTATGTCCTGGCGACAGGAAGTGGCATTGTTGGTGTGTCGACCGCGCTGAATGCCCTTTCGCGCCATGCCGCATGCACTGTCTGGTGGTCATTTCTTGCCACAGTTGTCATTATCGTGACCGCCTCCATTCGCAAACTTCAGCATGTGGGCTGGCTCACCTATGCTGGCTTTATTTCTATTTACGCCGCTGTACTAATCGTTGTGATTGGGGTAACTACACGAGACCGACCAGCAGCTGCACCTCAGGAGGGCCCATATGAACTAGGCTTCGTGGCAATCAATAATCCTGGATTTGCGGCCGGCATGGTCGCCTCCTGCACGATATTTGTGTCATCAGCCGGCACCAGTGCCTTCTTGCCTGTCATCTCGGAGATGCGTAACCCAAAAGATTACAAGAAGCCGCTATACTTTTGTATGACTCTTGTCACCACTTCGTACCTTGCCTTTAGCTTGGTTGTCTATCGCTGGTGTGGGAAGTGGGTGGCGAGCCCATCTTTGGGGGTGCGTATTGCTTTCCCAGACTCTCCATGAGTTCCATGGAGGAGGATTTATTAACGGATGTCATATAGAGTGCAGGTCAAACGATAAAGATGGTGTCTTACGGTGTTGCGTTGGTGGGATTGATCGTGAGCGCTACGCTGTACCTGCATGTACGTTTTCTCAACGGTCTCCCTTCACCAACCAGATGTATTTTATTAGACGACTGACTCAGAATGGCAACATTAAAGGTGGCGGCCAAGTATGTTTTCGTACGCATTCTAGGAAACTCGCGGCACTTGCAGGCCAACACAGTCGTCCATTGGGGTACTTGGATTGCAAGCACTGTCATCCTCGGTGCCCTTTCCTTCATCCTGGCGGAGGCGATTCCAATCTTTAACTATCTCATTGCCCTTATTGGCTCCGTGTGTTTTGCCCCCCTCGCCATGAGCCTTCCGGGCTGGCTGTGGCTATACGACCACTGGCACTACAAGAATGGTACTGTGAAACACAAGGTCGTGTTCATTCTTCATTGCGGCCTGGTGCTTCTGGGGCTTTTATTTCTGGTTGGAGCGACGTACGGTGTCGTTATCCAGATTATTGATGCCTACAGTTCCGGAACTATTGGTATGTGCTGGCTATCCCGTAGGAAAGTATTTACTGACATTGACTTGAAAGGATCGGCATTCAGCTGTGCAGATAACTCAAATTCGTCCTGAGAGATGTAATTGGCTCTATGTTGATTATAGGTACAACAAAAAAACTTATTACTTGCTTGCCAGTAACATAGAGTACGTACTGCATAAATAGTTTGAATTTTTGGTGTATCTGGCAGGGTCTCACATAGCTTGCTGGATTCTCCTCCGTTGGATACTTTTCCTTTTTCACTCTCATAACCATTGCTATCCTTGACACTATAGTAACTGGTAGTGCGAGGAAAAGCTGTATTTAACTCTGTAATGTGTCCTCGAGCACCAGAACAAGGGTTTTATAGGTTTTTAATGCCCTAAGCCCTAGGAAGCCCTAGGAAGCCCTTGCCGGAACCTGTCTGACCTCTTTCTTAGTTTGACCGAACTTTCTACTGTTGATATACTATAGTATGACGAGGGAATTATACGCCCCGCTGTGCCCGAGACAAACAATGGTCACGGGTGCAGATAGGGCGTATGAAGTGTATGGAGTTCCACGACAGACGTTATTGATTAATTTCCACGTCGAATCCTTCACGACTCCACCGACCCGTCGCAGGATGTAACCATGCATTTGTTCCTTGAAACAGCACTAAACTGGTATAGTCGACGAGGATGAAGGATATACCCTGATGCTATTACAAAAGATTGAGTAATGGAAAACATTTCCGTTGAAGATACATTACAGACTTGCCGAGTATCTACGTTAAGGTTACATCGTCTGTGGATTCTGGATGAACCTGAGCTTAAACACCAGAGAATCGCATTCCGTAACGTAATACTAATGCTTAAATAACCCTAGATAAGTGCCAAGTTAAGGCTGAATCAGGGTCTATCCCTTGTGGAATCAGGTCGATCAAACTTACCCCCTTCCGGCTCCACCGGCGCAGGTCCTTTTTTTGGGAATGCATTATTCAACCGAGAATCCTAAAAGCGTGAAGAACAGCTATAGCTATGCATTTAAGTATCCGTTCCATGCAGTGTCGGGTGAGGACCGTTGGGACGGGTCACCGAGACGTAAGGCTGATAGGTATAACGCGATGGATCTAGCGTATTTGGCCACCAAGTCGTTTTTTAATTCCTTATCTAAGCAGTGTCTACGAGGGGAGACGTAAATTAATCTCGAAGGCAGAGGCATCATAGTGCCCCTTTGGGTGGCGTTACTGGCATTTGATGCATGAGATGCAATTGACCCACTTGCATCTATTCTCGTACTTCTTCTCCTGATCCTCTCATCCCATATTCGAAAAATTCTTCTGATCATCATTTGCTTCGTGGACGATGGTCTAGGTTGATAGACTTGTCTTGGTCAGAGACTATGACTACATATAGGGTTTACAGACGACTTGACACGCCCCTGTATACTCGTCGCCATCTAGCTATTGACAGCCTTGCCAAGCTGATATGACTGTAGAACCATTGATCCCTCCCCCTCCGGGGATTATCTCCAATTTCGCACATCCGACCGACGTCCTCCACACGATAAACCTGGTAACGCAACTCTCGTGCATCATCGCTGTGACAGTTGCTGTGACATTGCGCGTAATTCTGAAGATACGCCTTCGAAAGAAGCTGGAATGGGAAGACTGTTAGTGATGTGCTTTCCCTGTGCAATGTATAATCTATCATGCTGATATTGACGACTGCTATTTTATAGATACAGCTGTTGCAGGATGCGTATACCACCCTTTTATACCTGAGTCGACTTGATCACATACTGAAGTCCAACAACAGATACTCTTCGTTGGATTCTGCATTAACATGCTTGTGCGTACGTCTGCTCCCATCACCATGGAAATGTGCAACGTGGGAAGCAGTATCTAACAGAGGTAGTAAACGTTTACGGGGGTGGATATCATGGATGGGATGTCCCAAAGAGTGACTTCGTGGACTTCCAGAAGGTAGATAACCTAGCGAAGAAAGCCACCTCCAATTCCTACCCTTGTAATTGAAACAACAACAGTCACTAATGAGCATCCGAGCGAAGGCATCCTATGCAATCACCATCATCTACGTCCCCATGGCTTATGTTGTCAAGCTCGCGCTGCTCTCCATCCTGCTACGGATTTTCGCCCCCGACCGTCGCAAGGTCCTTGTCATTCACATCAGCTTGCTTGTGCTGTTGCTATACTATATCCCTGCCTTGTTCATCAAAGTGTTTTTCTGCAAACCTATTTCGGCATTTTGGTACGGAACGAGTAACGGCGGGACATGCTTAGACCAGCGGAAAGTCATCATCGCCGACTCAGCCATCAGTATTGCTAGCGACTTGTGGATCCTGATCCTACCGGCACCGTTGCTATGGTCACTGCACATGTCAACCATAAAAAAGCTCCGAGTCATCGGCATTTTGAGCGCAGGCGGGATAGCCACTGCGTTCAGTATCTGGCGATTAGTGATGATGGTCAGGGAGCCCCCGACAGCAGATATAACATGGGCCTGGATCCATGTTGTGTTAACAGCGTAAGGCCCATCCTTCTCATTCTTAGCAGCTAGGATTCGAACTAATCATCATGTAGAAACGCCGAAGCAGCCATTGGGCTAATATGCGCTTGTCTGCCCTCGTTGAGCGCATACGTTATTTCCGTTAAGGACAAGAACAGCAACGCCAATAGTGGCAGTTATCTGCGTAGCCATGAGCTCGACAACTGGAAGAAGATGATTGGCTCCAAAAACCACAACCATACGAACTCCTTTCAAACCCAGCAGAATGATCAGACACACCTCATCTCCATTGCTGGATGTGCTGAGGCCCCTGAGGGATCGTTAAATATTCTGCCTTCTCGGCGGAATAATACTCCTGGTCGCCATGGTATACGTATGGAGGTTACTGTTTCTCAGAGTTATGAATTCGTGGGATAGCTCTCGTTTTAGGGCTGCCATGGCTTTTTCATTCTGTACCGAGAGCTATGGAATATAGGACTTTGGTCTCATAACTTGAAGATAATAGAACTAAAAAATGAACCTTTCCGCTAATTATGGAATAATCCATACATAACATTATCGATGCATCTTGGGGCTGCAAAATGTGCTGGTATCGGTGAAGAACGAGCTTTTCTCTGGTTTCAACACAATTGGGAGAAATTCTTGACCTTCCAACGTCCGACGATGTGGTCATATACGATGGAAATCCGTTGGAGCTTGGCGCACGAGTAGCCCTGACTATTGATGGAAGTAGTAATAACGTAGTCAAATGTTGGCTGGAATCCACGTAAAGCTTTTGTGAGGGTCCTAAGAAGCTCTGCTTCGTTCAGGACGAGCCTAGCTATAGGAACCAGAGCCTCGAAGGTTCTTCAAAGTTATGGCGTGTTTGCATTTTGATATGCATGGGAAATCGCTCATTCTTCTTTTTCTACAAATACTTTCCACTGTTTCTTGAGATATGCTGACTTTGGCATACACAAGAATGCTTGGGGGCACGAAAATATCCAAGGTAAGGCAGCATACAAAGCCCCCCATTTTTCATTTTCTAACAGCAAAGACAGGTCGTATCTCGAAGCCGTCCACAAGATGGCTTCCCATGAATAATGACCCGAAGTCTTTTACAGCTCGCTCTATTCGCTGACATAGCATTTCGTCTCCGATTGGCAGTCCAATACTATAGTCAAAGCAGCCATGCTCGGAATTCCAGAAGAAGCCTCTTCCCTGCGTGACATCGAGCTCCCATCGTTGGTATACGTTGGTGTTGCTGTCGTTCCAATCCGGCTGCGCACCTATTATAATAAATAATACTTCTGGATGATATAATAATTCAAATATCTCGCGTAGTGCAGCAGGGTCACTCTGCAACAGCGCCTCTGGCACGGCGAGGTGTCTGACGTTTGGTTGCACATCCACCATCCGGCCGACGAGATCTGGCTCAAATTGGCGATCGATAGGCTCGAGTATGAATTCGTCTATCTTGTCAAACGGAACGTATAACACATCACGCACAGGGTATAGCTGGCGCACAAAGACGAAGGCCTGCTTGTCCCTATGAAAGCGCACCTGGATGCCCATTTTTCGAACCCAAGCTAAGGCGACGGCGCGGGATTCCCTGTTAACGAAGACTAGTGGTACATCAAACTGGACCGGGTCTAATAAATCGTGCCGGAACTCGAATACTGTACTGCACCATTCGTTATATGCCTCGTCAGATTCTGACAAGTACCGAGGGCACCAACACCCCTTTTTATAGGGGAACAGGACTTGGCCAATGTTGTCGGGTAATGCGTAACGCCATATAAGGTAGCGCAGCTCTGGAGGGAGGCTTGTGAAGCGAGCAAACTGGGAGAAATTGGTTGTCACTGCTGCCATGACCATTGGGAGAGTTAAGCCACTAGTTGGATAATATTATCTGACAGCTGGATGTTTGATTTGGTGATCTGGGGTCTGCGTACGTGGTATTTAATAAAAAGACTGACGAGGCTGTGCTCAAGACAAAGATACTGCTGCGCCACACCTGCCCTACATGCCTTCTTGACTGGTATATTGTCAATCTGCCCCAGCAATTAGTGCTTCTACTTGCTTGGTCCAGATGAAATCTCCTTGTGCCTTCAGTCATATAGTGCAATGCGTTGTCGGAAGCTTGGCAAAGGAATCTAACTCGAACTTGCATAAATATTACTATTAACGAATCAGTATACACTATATACCCTCGCACTATAGCTAATATTAGCTATGTCTGTTCCCAAATGATTCCCCAAGCCCATCATTCCTCACGACTAATTACAGTCCATGCATTGCTCGACCTTCAAAGTCGCACCCTGGGCCTGTGCAAAGATAGGCCCAAGGCGATCAATGGCCTTGGCCGCGCCCCCTTGGAAACCAACAAGTATGCCGCTGCCCACATCCATCGTAACTTTCTTCCCTCCTTGACCCCCAGCAAAGAACGAGCGGGATGTTGTTGTGAAAGAGATGCTATCCGCGCGCAACCCCCCGGCGATCTGCATCTCCGTGATGGTTTCACCTGGCTCGAACTTGAATGACTGGCACTCATCCGTCGTTGTTCCGTAGACTGTGCTCTTCCGATTGTCGGACCAGGTGATTTGGAGTCCCCGGAGTACTTTGGGTTGACCAGCGTCCTCCCCGACCCAGAACTGAAGGGTATCAATTGTCTCAGAGGGTTCGCCAATGACAGAAAAGTCCTTTCCACCGTCGCCACCGACAGGATTGTTGTAGATCAAGGATGGTGGACTGGGGTCGGCATTCAGCTCAACATGTTGAACCATGTCCTATAGTCATTTGTTTAGATTTGTGCTTGGGACTCAATCCTTTGAATGAACTACTCACGGGATCTTGGAGTGCATTGGTCATGGGCAGAAAGGCCACGGCCAAGGGAAGGAGGTGTTGCAAAAACTTCATTTTGAGGAGCTGAGTTTGAACGGTACAACGTAGTTGGAAAAGAGTTTAGGCTTCGTCTAATGATGGAAATTGAGAGTTTTCAAGGAGGTGACAGTCACAATGTACGTGGGAGGGCTCATCCTTCTTATACCCTTTCTTTTTTATTATTCCTGTATTTTATTGTATTTTTCAGATCATCGGTTGTGATATGCACGACAACTACATTGGTGCAAAAAGTGACAAGTATTCAATGTGCAACAACAAAAAGCTCTCCCAGAATATCTCCTCTTTATCAAGAAATATGATCAGCGGTGTTGTTATCTATCACATAATAGTCATAATATGTGCAGTAAAGTGCCAATAGTTTGCAGGTACCCGATCGTGTTGCCTAGTAGAAAAAGAAAATCGTACTTTCTGCTTACTAGTTGCCTCTGGTTATGGTAAAATGGAGTTTAGAGGATGCAGATGCAAATGTTATCACATTAGATTAAACATACAGGTCATTGTGCTCAACTAAATAGGATCCACAGGAAGTAAATAGTCAAATGACTAGAACGTGTCAGAACTAGGATGAGTATGCGGATTATTATATACTAGCCATTGAATTGCGCTTCAGGGGCTGATATTGACATGTCAGATCTCTATGCAACATTGTCATATTTTGAATAGCACATTTGATTCTACTGCAAGGGCATTATATCATTATTTCAGGACTATTTGATGGTGCAAATAAGCAAATAATAAGAATCAAGGCAATCATGTATCATAAATACAAGACAGCAGTACTTCAGGGAGTGAACTTGAGTAGATTGGGGATTGTATACCTTATACTTTCTGACAGAAACATCCTTGAAAGTTTAGCCCTGCTTTTGTTGCCCAATCTGAAACCTTCCCAAAGAGGTTCATTAGCCCTGAAGATCTCGAAGAGAAAATGACACACGCTACAGAGTTCGTGAGGCAAGCTCTGGTGTCAGGATGTGGGGTCCCGATGAGATAGCGTATACTCGGCGGCTTAGGGAGCCCTGACTTGTCCGCGATGCGGGAGGCATTGGGTATGCCAACCAAGGTCCTGGAAACAAACCTTGGGTATCCATTTGGGAAGCAAGTCAACATTCCAGACTCAGGCCAGGATATTGTTGAGCAATAAACATAAATCGAACGTGTGCCTTTCTAGTATCCTGGCTTTGTGGTGAGCTATGACTCTTAGATGGACTCTGTTCCTCTTCGACGACTAGATTGAACTATAAAGTCAAATCTAGTCAAGACCATGGCTGAAGATACGGAGCTTGATAGCCAAATATTTCAATTGATCATGAAAGCGGGAGCTTACACTGCATGATCTTTGCTATCTCCCCTAGGACAGCGTACGAAAGACGAGGGATTCGGAACCAGAAACTAGGCTCTGGCTGGCTTAGTCGTCTAACAGAGCATGAATTCTGTAGACCAACGAGACCCCAAATAAATAGCGCAAGTCAATAGCTAGTTTAACTCTGTACTTCTATTCTCAAGGCGCCGATGCGAAATAGTATGGTGATGAAAAATATCACAGATGTTGCCTCTCCGTTCACATCTCCAGTCACAGATTACCAGTTTAAACTTACCCTGGAGTCAACTCCTGCCATTTTAAACCGTTTAGAATAGCTTCTCTCATCGTGAGCATTTTCTTCGCCTTCACTGATACAACGATATAAATTGCGGAGTAGAGACGAGGTGAACAAGAGCAACACCTGGCGGTGAGTTGGTTGGCCTATCGGGCAAATTCGCTTAAGACGTGAACATGCGAAATCCCCCAAAATAGTTTAGTGTCCATTCACGTGACTATAAGATTAATCTTTCGATATGATTGGAGTGATGACGAGACGAACATGTTCGAAAAGTCGTCAAAGAGAAAGCTTGGCAGAGTAGATATTTTGTAAGCCAGTGAGGTCCAATATAACTGTAAAGCTACTGGCATTCGCAGAGGTTTCCGGTCTGGCACTTGTTGTTATGCGACCTGATAAGCTGAGTTCTGCCGCTAAACTCCCTGTTTAGGGAGGCGGAACATAAAGGCGGTGGTGATAATATCAGGTTCCTGAAAGTCAAATGAACGTGGATCTTCAATATGCTCTCATCAGTCTTTGCGATGCAAGGTAGCTATCAGTCTCTGTTTTATGGTCGACACTGCTCGGTAGTTATTGATACAAGAATTTGAAAACAATCTCTTACGCGGCTTAGCTGTATTTGATGAACACCAGTGTCAGCGGAACCACAGATATATATAAATAGACACCTTTAGCCCATTCGCATCATTGGCTAAGGGTCCAATATTTCCATGAATAGATATCTATCTTTTCAAAGATTAAGGTCCAACTGAGACCTACAAATAGATTGTGTGCAGGTGGTACTATCAAAACTGCACTTTGAATCATAATGCAAGTTCATTCGAAGGTTTATTTGTCCTACAGAGATCTCGGTATGTTGATGTGCCCTCGTACCCCACTGTTGAAAAGGATACCATCAAAATCGAACTGGTTGGTGACTACAGAGTGTGATTTCACAATTCCTCTACACATTTCGTTCACCCTTACCACTGTTGGGCCTGTTCAAACGGGATTGACGAGAATATTTGTCGTCGCCACATTCTGGTACCCGAACGGTAACGCTGAAAGGGAACGAAATGCAGGGCCTCACTACGAGGGATGATCAAACAGTAGTCGGTGGTTATGGAACCCAATGAACAAAAAGGAAAACGGCCTTCCGACAATCGAGTCGCTGCCGGTAAATTATCCCTAGATACGCTTATAGGGGAAACAGTCCAGCACTACGGCTTGAAAACCCGTGGCGCAGACCATGAACCGAGGAAGTAGATTTTTTCGTTCTTCATTCCAGCAGATATATCCTGATCATAGGAGGTTGGATCTCGCATTGGCGAGTCTTTCAGAACTCCAGCGCCGTCACCGCCATTGCAACATGAACTTAAACCCCGGACAAAACCCTCTAAGCAGACTTGGCCTTGGCGGCCTCACGTCCCTTTCCGATGCGCTCAAGGATCTGCTCACGGTCCTTGTCGAGGTGGAGCTTGGAGATGACGACCTTGGAGGGGTGGATACCGAGGGGAACGCTCTGGCCGTTGGACTTCTCGCGGACGACACGCTCGACGTGGACAACCCACTTAAGACGGTAAACGCTGGTGATCTTGCCCTCACGGCCCTTCTGGCCTCCACGGACAATGGTGACCTCGTCGTCCTTGCGGATGGGGAGAGAGCGGACCTATCGAGGACTGCGTCAGAACTATGCTCCTTATATTTTCCTTATTTCACCCCAAGTTTCATGTCGTTGGTGTTGCTTTCCTCCCATCTCCATCCCAAATCCAGTGGGCGAGCGAGCCTAATCCCGACTGAGGAGAGAGGGTTCATGCCAAATCCATTCCGACTTCTTCAAGGGGTTTGCAGATCGTTTTCGGTGTTGTTCGAACATACATTGTACTTCTCACGGAGTTCCTTGCTGAGAGGGGCGCTCATGATGACACGGCGCTCACCGGAGCCAGCGTTGAAGTGCGCCTTGCGCGACTTCCGGCGGGAAGAGGCCAAACCTGAAGAACGATTCATCAGCATACTTGGACCATGTAACACTCCACCCAGATACCACGAGACAGCGATTGGGAGGATCTAGAGATATCGGCGGATCGAAATTCAAGGAATCACATACTGTGGTTCTGGACAGTCATCTTGACAGAGCCTCCTAAAAGGGATCGTGAAAGGGCTCAGGTACGGTTGTCGTTGGGGTCGTCGTCGGAAAGCTTCAAAGTCCAACAGATTCTTTTGTGGCCGAAAAGATTGAGTTGTGTGCGTCACATGACGGCCCGCTTCGCCTAGGGCTGGGTACTGCCTTGTGATTGGCCGTCGCCCGCTTCCGCCTTGAGCCCGTGACGCGGGTTCGTCGATCGTAAGAACTCTTAAGCCTGGTCCATGTAGACTTCTACTGACTCTGGACATAATCTATTAAACTAAAATCTACAAGATCCATAGGACTTAGATAAGTGCTACATTGTCATCTCTGTCCTGCGTGGCGGGAACTCGTACTTCCTCTCTGCCGACATCTGGGAAACCATATTAGGAATAGTTGATGCCAAGAATATCAGAGAACATCCACCGGCAACAACGTCACGGGGGTACAACACAGTAATTTATTCTGTTATTGGGACTTCAGATAGAGGTATTCTTGCTACGGTGACTAGCGAATTTACTCACATCAGGGTGTGTAACTCCACAAAAGCCGTATGATGCATGCAACAACGGTGGCATCCTAATAATAGTACTTGCAGTAGTATTCTTGATACAGATAGAGACATTGGCGAATTGAAGGTCAAAACTCAAGCATGAAGAAACTAATCTCTAGACGTAGCGGGTGTATGATGCGCGTTGTGAGCGAGACTCTCATCGTATCAAGAATGGAAAAGTGACCGGCAGAGAAAAAAGCGGGCCCCGGGAACCGCTCAAATAATGTCCGCGTTTGATATGTACCGGGAATACGTACATACTGGATTATATCCATACTCTTGGAAGGCTATTGTGACGGTTGTCAATGAAGATTTATTTTAAGTATCCTTTCATTTACATAGTTTACTCTCGTAAAGTTCAACCAGCTTGTCTATATGTCCGAACGGCTATTGCGTTGAAGAGCTTTTGGGTTCTTGGCGTTTCGTTTTCTCGCCTCAAGGCAAAGGCAAGGATTGTTTAAATGCACAAAAGTCCTCTCACTTAGCCACGCCGAGAGATATTTGGAACATTCCGATCAGCGTGTTCTGCCGTTCAACCAGAAAGCCAATGGTTTAGCCCTGGACTGTTCCTAATCCCCGCAAACCCGCACCAAACCCGCAGCGGTGCCGTTATGGAATCTAGACCCAACATCCGCAGGTTGCAAACCCGCAGCACCTCTAAATTCCCGAAATAGATAAATTACGGAAGAGCATGACGGAGATCTAATGATAGTTAGTTTAACATTTTCAGCTATAATATATGTATATAATTTATATATAGAAGAATGATGTTATGTAAAGATTAGCAGTACTAGTACTGGTTGATGTTGCTTTTACGACTTCTGACGCTTGACTAGATATATATATTTTGACTCGGGATTAACTGTAGATTAAGGAACATTGGCAGATCTCTTGGTTCAGCTTAGTATATTAATTACAATATTCTGAATGGGTTGCATATCCAGATATATATGCTGGATTTAAGCCTTGAACTATTAAAATGTATGAAAACTGGAATCTGATCTTGTTTGTCCAGATCCTGGCGGGCGGATTCAGTATAGTCGATCTATACTAACACTAAATCAGGCTTAGGGCCCGACTAACACGTGACAGTAAACAACCTAATTTCTCCATGGCTGCGGACAGCCCCACTAAAAGCCATACCCATTCAAAGGGCTGGTCTTGTACCTCGGTGGAGACAGGACTGTCCTCGAGACACTGAACGATGTCTACTGCCGTTGGTTTTGAAGAACAAGACAGAATTCTCGACTGTAGTGACCCGGAATAAATAAGCCAGAGATACCCTAAATCAATCTAAAGGGAGCTCGGTTCAAATTATCCCGGTTGCGGGGAACCCTGCGGGGCTGTACAGCGTCCCTCTAATCATCGCTCTCGCATGCGTTGCATACAATTTTCCCTCTATCATGATCTACACAACAATAGAGACCTCGGGGCCTCGTTCGTCAATGGATAATTCCCTGCAACCCACGATGAAAAACTGGGAACTCTACCCTAGCAGCGCGGAGGGAATTTTCCGTGAAAGTGCCATCTGCTACCTTCATTAATGGAGCATGGCAAACTCCATCTGATAGCCTACCCTACTATCCCCGCATGAACTGCTCTAAGGAAAAATTCCTTAAAGCATTGCTATATAAACACAAAGCCCCACAATGGCCGGGATCGTTCGGCAACACCCTGCCCCCTGGATAAATAGTGCTGTGGCACCAAGTATTGCTTGTCTTTAAATAACGTGTCCTGGAGGAAGAAATGAGGCTGGTCATCTTCTTGTCCACTTTATTAAGCTTTTTGGCTGAGCTTAAAAATGCTGCCTCAAGTAAGCCGCCCCGACCGACAATCAGCCTTGACTATGCCCAATATCAAGGGACGAGACTCCCGGCCGGAGTAGATCAATATCTGGGCATGCGATATGCAGCGCCACCGCTAGGAGAGCTTCGCTTCCGGGCCCCTCGAGAGCCCGTTCGAGCGTCTTCCGTCCAGGATGCATCGGTGGTAAGAGGATACAGGTCTCCCAGAAAGACGGACTGTTAATTTCTCCGATAGTTTGGCCCAGTATGTGTAGGTACCGGCCAGAATGTCACTGAAGACACAGCCGAAGATTGTCTTTTCATCAATGTTTTTACTCCATCCAGTGCCACACCAGGATCTGACCTCCCTGTTTGGGTGTATATCCAAGGCGGTGCATATGCGACAAATTCAAATGCAAACTACAATGGCACCCAGGTGATCCAGGAATCCGGGCATGGAGTTATACTGGTCAATTTCAATTATCGTGTGGGAGCATTGGGCTTTCTAGCTGGTCATAAGGTCCAGCAAGATGGTGATCTCAATGTCGGCTTGCTTGATCAGCGGAAAGCCCTACGATGGGTAAAGAAGTACATTCATCTGGTAAGAAAACAGAACCATTATCCCTTCGAGTCATACTCCCTCAATCTGACAGACCTCAGTTTGGCGGTAATCCAAACCATGTTGTCATTCATGGTGCGTCGGCAGGTGCAGGCTCGGTGGCCTACCATCTTGCAGCATACGGTGGCCGCAACGACGATCTTTTCATTGGCGCAGTGGCTGAGAGTCCGTTCTGGCCTGCTCAACGGAATAAGTCTGAGTCCGAGACACAGTGCAGTCAACTCATGGAGGCTGTCGGATGCTCGACGATGTCGTGTTTGCGATCTGCCAACATCTCCGCCATCCAGAAAGCACAGGCTACTTCACCAGATCCGACAGATCCCACACGTACAACGCCCTCATTTTGGGAGTTCGTCCCAGTTATCGATGGGACTCTCATCCAGGACCGTCTATATCCACTATTTGCACAAGGAAAATTCATCCGTGTTCCTTTTATTGTTGGCGGAGACACAAACGAAGGCTCCTACTTCGCATACAATGCCACGAGCCTGGCCGATATGTCCGCGTTCTTGACTAGTCTCTACCCAAGTCTAAGGTCAAACCAACTACAGTCAATCAATCGCGCCTATCAGGGTATGGAGCCCGTTCTGCTTCATGCAGAATACTTCCCTGCTGCTTCAGCCGCGTTTGGAGATGCCGTCTTCACCTGTCCAGGCATTCATATGAGCACACAAATGGCAAGGTCTTACCCGCTAGGTGATGAGAAAGTTTGGAGCTATCGATATAATGTCCAGGATCCCGAAACGCTTAAAAAGGGGCTGGGAGTCCCGCATACCTTCGAGACAGAGGCCATTTTTGGACCAGACTATGGAGGCGGACTTAGCAGCAGCATTACCAATATCAACGCAGGAATCGTTCCTGTTGTCATGAATTATTATATCAGCTTTGTGAAGACGTTGGATCCTAACAGTTTCAGGGCAGAAGGTACACCTTACTGGATGCCATGGGGAACAGGAGAGAGGCTGAAGATACAGACAAATCAGACGGCGATGGAAGTCATTCCAGGAACTCAACAAGATCGGTGCGCGCTATGGGAAATGTTGGCTCCTGTCATGGACGTTTAGTGAGGATCTGGGATAATTGTCTAGTTTATCTATAAGCTGCCAGGTCTCTGGTCTTTGCAAAATGTTTGTATAAATTTGCCAAACCCGCCGGATCGAATGCTGAATTTCATATAATATTGAACTATGATCTTTGGAGGAAGATTCCTAGGTATTAATTACTATATATTTCCTTTATCAGGCTTCGCATATATGTTCTACTCAGTTGTACCCACATTAATCTATGGAATCAAAGGGTCAGGTCAAATCCTCCTCCATCTGAAACTCATAGGAATGGACATGGTCTGTATCAGTTCCGCAGATCAGCATATTGCCATGTTCAATGCATTTCCAATCCACCCAGTAGGTGGGACGGTGTTCAGGCGGTAGCATAGGATTCTCTGTCCGCTACTGGCTGCTACTACCCATCCATTTTCGAACAGCACCTCAGGCTTGCGCGTTGAGGATTCACGCTCTAGACGCAGTAGGGCCGGACGTGTCACTGTTGCCCCCTCATAACTCCCGCTTTTCGCATTACACACGTGGTTTCCTTTGTCAAACCCTCTCCATACTACCTGCTGACTATCTGGCGTGAACACCACATGTGTACAAGACCTTGTATGCTTTAGGGTATATTGCAATTTTCCTGTTTTCAAGTCCCATAGGGTAACCACGCCACCCCATAATCCTGCTGCGACCTGTTGCTCGTCAGGGGAAATATCGATGGTAGCGATCATATCCGGCTGGCTGTTCACTTGTTGGGGCTGTATCTGTTCGGAATCCCGTGCTGGGTCCCGTGTCCCTTGTGTAAGGTTCCAGAGCTTAAGGGTGAGATCCTGTGAGCCAGATGCCAACACTTGGTCATCTACTGAAAAGGACAAACAGATAGGTATGGATCCATGACCTTGTAGGATCTGCTCGAGATGTCCTTCTCGTGTGTTCCACAACCGGATCATACAATCCGAACCCCCTGATGCAACTAAGCTGCCGTCAGACTCTGATCAACCTGGCCGTCCTTGTCTTGGAAAAAGAAATGTAGAGTTGCTGGAGAGACAGAGTTAGCGGGAATTCTATTCAATTCTTCAATGATCCCAGCTAGCAGCATCGTCTTGCTGGTGCCCGCTTGTCCCTGGATCCAGAGCAGATTTGGCGTGTCCTCGAATTGCCACTTCATGAAGTCTTGATAGGCTTTCGTCTGAAATACCCACTCATAGCAGTCCTTAAGAACCTCATTCTTCCGTGCTATGATATCTTTGGTTCTCAGCATGGGATTTACCACGCCCAAGGACTTCAGACACTGGCGATATTTATCGTCGGCCCCATCACGCGTCTTATTATCGATGGCCATCTGATCAATGATTGTAAGGATCTGCTCCAGCTTGTATTGCTGCAGGTCAGACCGGAGAGCATTTTCTTGCTCAGTGATTATCGCCAGGCTTCCATACCAGTCATCGACATTTAAAAGACCACGGACAAAGACCGCAACTTGGCTTTTGTGGTAGAAGCAGACACTCTTGATTTCATAAAAGAGCATACACTTGTACATATCCAGCATACCAGTCTCTAGCTGCTTACGGACTTTTTCGAGTTTCAGATGGCCATTATCGCTACCAGTCTGAAGAAGACTATCGGTTATCTTCGAATACCACTGCATTCTATCAACCACGTGGTTGACTCCATCGTACAGAGCTTTGGTTGAGCGAACTGGATTTGCAAGAATCTGAGAGATGAGTTAGCAGTGACTCACAACAATATTTTAACGGATTTCCTACGTCGATAGCGGAGGAAATGATTGCCCATGGAAGGGCAGTATGTGGGGTGTTGTTCAGGACGGCGTTGAATATGGGTTTCAAATTCTGCACCACCCCGAAAACCTCGGACGTACTGTCAATCCGCTTCTGGCTTGCATTGACTCTCTCCAGCCCTTTCTGAATAATATGCTGTAGCTGGTCTGCGGTCCATGGTGCATTGTCAGTATCACGTCTGGGTCCATGAATGGGTTCGGCACACGCTGAGCTATTGGTGGGTCGTCCCAAGAATATGTCCGATACTAGTTGTTCATAGGCCTTTATGTACTTCTCCTTGCCCGGATCCGCTTTTAGCTCCTTGTAAGCTCTATTCCAAAGGTCCTCATGGATTGAAATCAGCTTCCTGTTGTTGTTGTTGTCATTATCAACTGGGGAGATACGCTGAGAGGCTCGCTGTTCAGTTTGATTTGTGTGCGTGGAATTTGATACCCTGGCTGGGTTCATCGGAATGCTTGGTTCTTGCTTTGGAGGATATTCTACTCCTCAGCTCATTGAGCTTCCTCATGACTCAAGAAGATTCACCAAATACTACCCTGTAGACACGCAAACATTTACTGCTCGCGGTCCGGACTACCCCGCGTTAGGCTGAAAGACGAGGCTAAATTTATCATCTCCAACGGCGCCAAGAAACCCCCCATTTCTTACGTCAGTAATTTAAAGCAAATTCGATTTGCAATACTTATTAATTGGTATGTAGCTTGATAGTCATGAAAGGGTGGTTTTCCTGTCTTGTAATATGTTATCCTTGTTTTTATGATGTGTTTTAGGCGTAGTATTCATTCATTAATAATTGCACTGAAGTATCATAGTGAGACTTTGTGTCCCCACTGACTTGTGAACATTTACTTCTTGAGCTGGTTTTGAACAACATTATTTCTCGCTAATTCTAGTCTATTAGGAATTGGAATAGCCCACGCTCATGTACATTGTTCGTCGGTACAACGATCGCGCAAGCAATCGTTCAGACTTTTGTAACACCTTTAGACAAAGTATCTCATTCCAGTTGCACAAAAAAAGATCGAATGAGTAGCATACAATGTATATCCAGTCCCTGTTCCTCCCATAGAAGCAAGCTGACTACTTACCAACGTAGTTGAACTTGTTATTCTTCTCGTCATACTGATATGCCCATTTGGCAGGGTCGTAGCCCCAGCTGCCTGCGATATCCTTGGTCTTATCGCAAACACTCTTATCGTTGCTCCCCAGAGCCTTGCAGTAAGGACTAGTGTCTTCTTAGTATGCCGCATGTGATGAGAATACTGGATAGGATATTCTTACCCAGCAGCACCGGTGAACTTAGTGATCTGAAACCATGTACCCTTTGTCTCCTTGGGCTTGCTAGGATCGAATTGCACTACTTTATTCGCAGAGTAGAAACCGTTTAGGACACCACCTTGGGAATTCTGAGCAGCGAGGTTGACGGGTGCAAGGATGGCACTTTGTCACACCTGATCAGCCAACAATCCATTGATCGGGGCTCCGACGAGTTTAACATACTTTGTTCCACCTTGAAGGGAAGAAGCAAACGCGTATTCTTCGGGTGACTTGAAGTCCTGTGTGCTCCAAGCCGGGGTCTTAGGTGGAAGGGCTTTGATGCCCCATTTCGTAGGATCTTTGAACGGCCCTTTGTTCGCACCGCTCCGATCGCGATTACTATTTTTCGTCTTCTCGTTCACGCGCTGCCTAGGGATGCGACATATATTAGCCAAACGTGTCACATCGGGGGCCTCGACAGAGGAAGACGTACAGAACATTCGGAGCGCCCTTGCACAGAATGGCCCAGCAATCGACGTCAAATGGTAGAGCACTTTGGCCTTTGACCTCCAAGTCCGCCTTGATCGGGTCGCTTTTGGTATCACCGCTGCCTGATTTGAGAGAGACATCTACGGAGCGTGCAACTTCAGACTCGGGGTTGACAGGGACAGCCAGCGCATGCTGCGTGCCAAACACATAGAGCGCGAATACCAGGAGGGACTTGGTGAACAGCATTTTGAAAGCAAGGTTTGACTGAGACTAAGAAAGTGTAATTGCTTGAATAGACTCTGGTGATTTCTTCAGGGCAATTCTTCACCTTTTATCGCCCATCATGATGAACTCAATTCGTACAGCCCTATCGCTTTGCAGCCCCTAGCTATCGAGTCAATCAATAGTGCCACCGGGGGCTGGAAGTTTGTCGCGGCGCATGACGCCCCCAAGGGGCTGACTGTAACGCTAGCTGCACTGTCAGTGGACTGAAACTGGTTGTTGATGCAAGGCCCGTCAGCTTATTCCGTTTGTTAAGGTCGTGACTCGTAAGCGACGGCAATCGGCCGTATCAGTGGTTGCATTGGGTGCTGCTCAGAAAAAGCAACCATTCCATGTAAAACGGAACCAACCAGATGAAGGGGTGGCATGGCAGAATGCATACTCAGCTGAAGTGATCCTTCAAATTGGTCGCATAGTTGTGTGTCTGACATGCAGGTACTTTCACATCGCCCGGTTTTCCTGCTTCTGTCAGCTTAGGGCAACATCCCTGACCTATAGGCTGACTAACGCTCTGGCGGGGCTCGAAAGCGGGGGGTCTGGCCTGGCCTGGCCGATCAGGCACTATCGTATTCCACCTGGTCAATATGACTTCACTTAATCTCCTTTCTTTTCAACTCGGCTGCCTATTTCATTGTCATCTACACAATCCCTCTATCGTATGAATCAAAACGCCTTTAACGATCAGAAACGAACGCCAAGCCCATCATGTCCGCCATTCTCCTGTTCTGCACTTCAAACGTTCGCGCCAGCGTTCGTGCCCCCATACAATACTCCAAGATCACTTACTAAATTTTTCTAGGTAATCAACCGATTGATGAACGAATGTGCTATACCTGAAGATGCGTTCAACATCTTCAGTTTAGTCCGCACCCCAAACCAGGAAACCTTAGACGAGTGGCAAACTCAAACCCCTGTCCAAGAGTTCGACACCGGTTTTGAAGGCAAAAGTGACGCCGAGCTACGCAGATTCTTCCAAGAACGCCTTGATAAACACACCGATACTCAGACAACGAGTATTTCAGACTCGTGGCTTGCTGTACTTGACGATAAGTCGCCCTCGCAGGACACAGTGGTCATGCACTATACATACGACAAGTCAAGTTGGGGTCCAAACCCTATTCCAGGGCCTGCAGAGGTATCCGATGACACAATCTGGTGGAAGTGGAGAGTTCCCTTCCAATCAGCCTGGACGTTCTGGAACGCGGTCGGGAGCATCGGGGCCGATGCTATTGAAATCTATTCACGGCCTGAGTATACAAGCTCGGATGGTGTTCTGCAGACTGAGATTCCAGAGAAGATCATTAATGGGGAGATTGAGGATCCACATGCTTAGACCTTTGCTTAATGCACCTTTGGTATAGCTTCTCATTATCGCAATCAGTGGCAGTTCATGATGGATATGGTTGAATTGAATGAGGCCAATGAATGTACTTATTAAATTGATGCCTAAGTTGAGCTTTAGTGTACAATGAAGCCTGTTGTAAATTGACTTGCATCTTTTATCGATATCTAACACGGAAATTAGGCGAAGAAAGCCATTAATATATTGATATGATCCTACAAGCGTAGATGTATGAATTGAGGTTATTGTAGTAGAGCTTCTACAACTATATCAGCCATCTGATCCTGGTGTTCTTATCTGTCACACTTGATTGCAACTTCCGTTGAATATCTCACTAAAGTAAACTAAGTATGAAGCACCTCCATCAGATTCATTACGACCTAACCACATTCAATATTGCGACCTTTCAATGATCGCGTGTCAGGCCAAGGTATTCAATAAACAAGATGGCCAAAGGCCCTAAACTATCTGTTCCTTCCCCCCGATTTGAGCTGGGCTACAACGAACCTTGGATGGCCAATTAATGGATACTTCGAATCTTGGGCCATGATACTTCAATCCAGGGACCACCGGGCGTAGTAGAGGTCACCTGATGAATATATACAAACTAGTGGATATTGGCGCTGGCATGCCGAATGCAGAAACATGACTTGGCATGACCACTCCGTGAAGTAAGAAAAGTGATGTCAGGGCGATGAGCTAGTTGGTAGAAGCCAAAGTTGAAGTAGCCATAGAAATTATTCAACGCTTAGTACAATAAATAATTCAAAACTTCAAGTGCCAAAGCATGAACTCGGGAGCCATGTATCAAGAAACTACGAGAATACATCGGTAAAGGCCACCATGACTGCCAGTATCTTCATGTCACGTTAGACTACCGGGTCAGCCCCTCCAATCTATTACTGAGAGCCTGTAGGCGACATCTGGAGGGTCTCAGATTTGGGGGTCAGCGTGAAACCTCGCCCATACCGTTCCTTGAATTCCGCCCTAGATCCGGTATCAGCATCCCGATCACGAATTGCGTTGGTATATTCTCGCATCGGTTGGCCGTCGGCGTCGATCACCCGAAAGTTAATATTGGTCAGATCTCGCGACAGCTGTTGGACTGAGGCATCACTGAGGTGACCTCCCACCTGCCTAGTTCTCCACCCCACTCCTCGGTTGGTGCCATGAATGGTCTTTCCGGTCGTCGACACCATGAACTGTAACGCATCCCCGGCCCCGTAGTTGTGAATGCTGCTGATATTTTCCTTGAGGTGGTTGTCTGCCTTGGAGCAGATGTCCATGCACTGGCGGGCGGTTTCCCACTCCTCCCGCAGCCTTTTCAGTTCGGTAACTTCGTTTTCCGACGTCATCGCTGCTTTCGATTTCACCAGTAATCGGTCGATCAGGTCTTGCATATGCTTTTCCAACCTGGCAATCGTGACGGCAAGTTTATTCTTACACTCCTCCAAGCCCTCATTGGTGACCCTTTCCGGGAAAGCGTCAGGATCATCTGGTCCCGGCGAACTATCACTGCGCTTGGTGGAGAGCTGAATCTGGTCAATGTGCTCAGATAGCTGGGCACATATTTGAAGACATTTCTCGGTGCTCAACCGCTCCTCCTTGATTCGCCGCAGCTCCAACGCATCTGAATCAAATGCGGTCACGGTTTGCCCAAAGATCACCTCAAGCTTTCCGTCGATGCTTTCCAGATGAGACTCAAGGTCAAGTTTGGCTGTCTCGATGAGCACCTTGTAGCTTTCAATGGCCTCGGTGTTGACCGAGCTCTTCCGGCTGGATATAAAGTTAGTCACGAACGCCTGGAAAACGAACCGAAGAATGGTAGACGGGGTCGCAGCGCCATGGGAGGGCAGCAAATAGAACATGCTTATGGGTAGACACAAGACCACAGAGACTCACAGGTTCGCATCGGTCAGGGCAATATTGATAGTCAACTTGTACCCGGCAAGCATTCGTCTGAAACCATCGATATCGTCACCCATGTACCGTAACTTGGCCCAGTCTCGGAAGCTGGTTCTATTAGTAGAGCGTGACGAGCACTTGATTAATTCTTGCTCGAACTCGTTGCAGGCATTGCCGCAGCGTAGGAGCGGCAAGTCGAGGGCCGATAGATCTACATCGCTGGGCGTATCTAATAGCTCGCGGAGTGGGGCGAGAACCCCGCTCAAAGCCTCCAGCTCCTCTATCAGGTCGCGGACGCGTTTGGTGTGAGACCGGAAACTATTCACTGTCTCGTGAAGGGTGAGGCTAGACTGGAATGCAAAAGTCGCCAAGGCTAGCAGTCCGGAGGCCAGGCCGATGGTTTCTGCCATGTTTTGGGTGGTTTTCTCAGGGTGAAAGATAACCGAGGATGGTGGGTGGACCAGGGATTTGTTGCGCGCGACCCAAGGGCGACGGGTCGGGCTGGGTATTATACTTTGTCCGCCCGGCGCAGCGGGTCGATGGCGACTGATTATGAGACGTCAAAGGTAAGCGCCCATGTGGGTGGTCTGGGCAGATCTGGTGTGGAAAAATGAGGCTGTTCAAGAGCGTTCGATCTGAGAAAATGACTTGAGCGGGCGGCTTCTCAGCCAATTACTCCACTTAAAATGTCGCGAGGGAAGGGACCACCCAGATAGTGCCGACAAAATCCGTTTCAGTTGGCCAGACTCCAGGAACGATCCAGGTCTGTGCGAACAGCTGATAGTAGACAAGCGCCCGAGTGCAGGATCGTCGCCGTGAGAGACTCGTGTTCTGCGATGGTTGGGTTCAGTGACGGCCAAGGCTTCTCTTGTTGATCATAACCCTAACTCTCTATGGACTAGCACGAGGTTGAAGACATCAGGATCGGGTGGTGTCATTCGACGGAGGGGTGGTAGACGTGTGTGGGCGCCTTGCCAGAACGTTTCCCCACCATCGCTATGGCAATCTGGCTCGGGTGCGAAATGGAGGTACGCATTCTCATTGGCGAGATCTTCGATGTCGGTGGGCCAAGACGGAGGCGCCATGCCCAATATAAAATTCACTTTGCATGACATTCCCTCGTCCCAAGACCGTTCTCCTGCTCGTTCTCAGTGATCCCCATACCGCAGAACCAAACTCAGCATGGTAGATCCGTTATCAATGGCCTTGAGCTTAGTTGCGCTCGCTGTGTTTGTGTAGCACGTCTCTCCACCAAGTTGGTGAAAGCTTGCAGTCCACGAAGAAAACGATTCGCGAATTCCGTGTTGAACTCGAGTCTGTGACCCAAGCGGTCGCTACCTCGAGCGAGCAGCAGTGGGGAATGAGGTGTAACGGACTGCTTTGAAGCCATCCTTACTTCTTTGCGGGAAAACTGGCCAGGCGTTTGAGGTCACCAACCATGTGGGGTTCTGCGATACCACCATGAGTCTACCTCGGGGATTCCTGACAAGAATGGCCTTTCCATTCGTGCTCGAATCACCAAAAAACAAGGGGCTATCATCCAGAATTTCTGCAGAGTCGAAAGGTCTCAATGTGAGACAAGGGATGCCTCGGGGGTTGTTAGTAAGGTCTTGGTCAGCGCGAGAATGCCCTAAGATGACTACGCGCTCGGCAATCAACGGCGACTTCCCTTGCCGAACGTATGTACTTTTCAACATTGATCAACAACACTCCCACCGCGATCTTGCTTTTTATGATGCGGACTGTCCGATCTAACTTTAAAGTAACCGGCTGGATTTCTTCATTATCTAAGTGTGATTTGGATAAACAATTTAGCCTCAAATGCCACCCTGCGTGTGGGCAATGATCGCCAGAGTAGGGGTCTTGTCTGTCGCAGGATATCAATTGTACAGTATTAGTCTGAGCTCTGGATAACTGTGGTATTGTATATGTAATAGCAGGTTGGGGACATAAAAGAAGCCGAAAGCCTGTCTTCAGCATCACTCTTTCACTGAAAATCTACATCATTGTTCTCGATTCCAGACAGCAACACCCGCTTGGAACAAACAACTCCTCATTTATTCACTTTTTATCCCAAGGACACGTTTATACTCCCTCAATATGCGTCGCACTTGGGCCTCTTTCTGCGTTGCAGCGACCGAATTGGTCATACAGGCTGCCGCAGCTAGCTCCGCTGGATGCGGCACAACCCCAGCCCTCAGCAACGGACTCAACTACATGGACGTCAACGGGCAGCCTCGGGAATACATTATTCAGGCTCCTGACAACTACGACGCCAGCACTCCTCACAAACTCGTGATCGGGTACCACTGGCGCGACGGCACCATGAACAATGTCGTCGAAAACGGATTTTACGGGCTGCAGTCCCTCGCCGGGGACACACCCACCATCTTCATCGCTCCCCAGGGCCTGGCAACGGCTGGGCTAACACCAACGGTGACGATATTACCTTCACCGACCAAATCCTCGAAGCGATAGAATCCTCCTTCTGCATTGACCAGGACCGCCGTTTCGCCACCGGCTGGAGCTGGGGCGGAGGCATGAGCTACTCGGTGGCCTGTTCGCGAGCCGACGTCTTCCGCGCTGTTGCGGTTCTCTCTGGTGGTGAAATCAGTGGCTGTGATGGCGGTAGTCTCCCCATTGCGTACTTTGGTCAGCATGGAATTAGCGATAGCGTGCTGGGCGTCGAGCTCGGCCGTACATTGCGAGACCACTATGTTCAGGTGAATGACTGTGATGCCGCGACTCCTCCTGAGCCGCAGCCTGGAAGCGGGACACATGTTGTGACTGATTACACGGGCTGTTCTGAGGGACATCCTGTCCAGTGGGTCGCTTTTGATGGCGATCACGAACCACTTCCTTCCGACGCGGGTTCGTCGGATTCTTTTACCCCTGGTCTTATTTGGAAGTTCTTCTCTCAGTTCTAAGTTGCACCAATCGGAGCTGCTTTGGAATGCTATTATGGAGGAGGGGAAGATGGAGAGGAACTGTTTCGTGTCGTCTATTGCACAAATACTAGGCTATTCTCTCTTGATACATGTATTCAGGTTGCATAAGAAGTTGCTCTAGTAGATAGCTTCAAATTTCACTACTAGTCAAACTAGTTGAATTTTATTTGTATGGTTGAGAAGCTTCGAATACGATAGAAGCCGGGAACGAAGGTTAATGTCAAGGACAGTGAAATCTACGTATGGTCCATTTCAATACTCTATAATAATGTAGACATTTCGCAATCCTTTGGTCCGGCCGAGGTCACAAGCCTGGAGACCATGGACGGCCAAAAGTAAGCCCTATCGACAGTCGATGTGTATAACTATTGGCAAGAGATGACTGGAATCAAATTCGGCTTATGAACGATTTGGAGTATTTACACAATAATCATTGTAATATCCTTCTGCTTCCAGCCTTCCGTGACCAACTCGTCGAGCGCTCAAGATTTGCTAGGTAATAGTAACACCCTCCAATCCTCACTATAGCCACTAGACACAGCCAATAAAGTGACCACCACTTTACACCTTCAGTGTCAGGACAGCAGGCCTCCACGGCAGCTGGTTGTAATCGCCACTGGCATTAGGATCTTGTCCCTGGTAGAGCAACTGCAAATTGCAAGGATCCACAGTCATCGTCTGGTCGGGGTTGTTGCGAACCAGATCACCGTGACTGATATCGTTGGTCCAGGTGGCGCCACTGTTGGCCTTGCCAGCGAACGGCTGGCTCTCGTCGCCCGCCTGGACAGTCCACTCACCGTCCAGACTGTCAGCCGTAAACGAGCGGAAATAGCGTCCGTTGGCGCCAATGGCCTCCACAATCATCAAGTACTGGTTCTGGCCGTCGACAGTGTACACCTGAACCGCTTCGAACAGGTTGTTTCTCGTGTCACTGAGGATGATCTCGGATTCAGTACCAAAGTCGCCCGGGAAGTTGTCGATGGGCATGCTGGCGCGGTAGATCTTGCCATTGTCGCCCGCAAAGAAGAGATACATGTTCGTATCATCGCCAATGACAGTTTGGTCGATGACTCCCGTATCAGAGTCGGAAATAGTCCCCGAGAAGAGAGGTTGAGCCGCGGACCAGCCATTAGCGTTGGTGGGATCGCTGGAGGTCTTGTAGGAGAATGAGGTCGGGCCCCATTGATAGGCGAGGATCCAGACATCCTTTGGTGCAAAGTAGAAGAGTGTGGGTGCAACAGTTCCCTGATTCATGGCATTCTGGCTTGCCGAAGCCATCTCCGACCAGTCGCTAAAAGGGCCGAAGTTCATTGATCCGTAGTTCCCGGAGGTATCGGCGAACGATGCATAGACGATATGCTGGCCGTTGTACACAACATTGGTAAAGTCCTTGAGTGAAGCCCATCCAGACTTAGGCTCCGCGAGCACATCAGTTGATGTCCAGCTGTAGCTCGATGGTAGGGCACACTGCGCCGCGACTCGCGCTGAGGAAAGCAATACCGCGCCACATAGGGCTTGATCAACAATTCTCTTTGCAAATTTCATTGTGAACTCTGTATTCAATGACACACAGGGAGAACAGAGGTGGAGAATAATGGTGTAGCAAGGTAGAACAACGAAACCAGGCCAGATTTATAGCGCCAATACATCCTTGATTTAATTGCCCATCTGGGGCACCGGCTAAAATCCGAAACCAATCAGCCGCGAATGTGTCTCATGCGTTCAAGTATATCCACAGAGCTACAGGGTATATCGGTAGATGCTACCCACAGGAGCACCTACCGGACTTTTGCCTTTTTCGTCGCTAGTACGCGTTTCACTTGGCTTAAAACAATCCTTCAGCCGAAAGATCTGCAAGCCATTCTTCACAACCCCAAACCCGCCAAGAAACGGGCCAGGTCCGACTCGCGGGGTTTGGCCCGGCCCTAACCATATAATAGCCTATATCCATTTTAGGAGTGATGCACAGATACCTTTACCATGAACAGTAGTTTAGCGCTGCGCCATGGGAGGGGTTTGCATGGGGCATGAAACGATGCCACATCCATCTGTTTTGGTTGCATATTCATCTTCCTACGGCGCTGTGCTGATTTCTTGCACAGCTGACCCCATTGGGATATATTGCTTCTTGAGGGTTATCATACTTCACAACTCCGGTGGAGGTAGCCTCCTCCAGTCAAATTACTAGTAGCTACTGAGTGCTCATATTGTTCTCTAGTAAAGTTTCATCACCAACGGAAGTTTCCTCATGTGGCATTGCTATCCATCCACTTGATCCCTCAAAGTCGGCAAGCATAAAAGCTACTTCAAAAGTTGGTCGCATGCTGACAAGACCCCCAAGCCTTCAGTCATACCATAGATAGAAGACAATTCTTTTTAATTGCATCTTTACGAATTCAGGGAATTTTCACGAGCCATCATGAAATCCAATCTTCTCCTCTGGGGGCCATTGATGAGCATGGCTACTAGAGCCGTATCCCAGATCTCCAATCCAACATTTTGGGAGGATTTTGCGGACCTTGATATAATTCGTGTGGATGATAGGTTCTATTATTCCGCCTCGAATATGCACTACTCTCCCGGTGCTCCAATCCTTAGTTCATTTGATCTCTTGAATTGGGAGTTTACTGGCCATTCCATTCCAGAGCTTACATTTGGCCCAAATTACTACCTCGAAGGTGGCGACAACGCATACATTCGCGGTACATGGGCGTCAACATTGAACTATCGACCTAGTACGTCGACCTTCTACTGGATGGGCTGCATTGACGGTACCACATACATTTACACGGCCCCCAATGCTGAAGGTCCATGGACCCAAGCCTCCACGATCAATAAATGCTACTATGATTGTGGTCTCCTCATCACAGACGATGACAAAATGTATGTTGCCTACGGGAACAATGGGATCTCCGTCGCCGAGCTCTCCGACGACGGGCTCAGTGAAGTGAGCTCGCAGATGGTCTTCCCTCCGGACGATGCTGGATATCTGGAGGGATCCAGATTCTATCAGCATGATGGGAACTTCTACATCTTTGTTGTTCATCCCGCCAACGAGGAGCATGTTCTTATGTCGACCTCCGGTGTGTTCGGTCCTTATGAGCGTTGTCTACTGATATCCGATGCTGGCAATCCTGTCTCGGGGGCAGGATACCCGCACCAGGGAGGCATTGTTGACACCCCGAATGGGGATTGGTATTACATGGCCTTTGTCGATGCCTATCCGGGAGGACGAATTCCCGTTCTCGCTCCTTTGACCTGGGGAAGCGATGGCTGGCCCTCGGTGGAGTTAGTAGAGGGTGGATGGAGCACAACTTATGACGCGCCGAACATCACCCCGCCGTCTACCCCCATCTCATCCTTTGAACCCTATAGCGATAATTTCAGTGGGAATACCCTCTCCCCGCAGTGGGAATGGAATCACAACCCCGACAACGAAAAGTGGTCCATCAACAACGGGGTCACTCTCACCACTGCCTCAGTCACCAATGACCTATACGCGGCGAAAAACACCTTAACGCATCGAATTCTCGGCCCTGCCTCAACTGCCACCATCCACCTTGACACTAGCTCCATGTCCAGTGGCGACCGTGCGGGTATTTCCCTGCTCCGTCATTCGTCCGCTTGGATTGGCGTAGTCAATGATGGAGGTACCTCTCACATCGGCGTTACCACGGGGCTGGAGATGGACTCGGATTGGAATACCGTTTCCACAGGGACTGAGACTGCCACGGCCGAATTCTCTGGGAGTGAGATATGGCTTCGTGTGGAAGCAAATATCACGCCGTACGCGGGCAGCGGCCAATTCTCGTACAGTTTGGATGGTGTGACGTTCACAAACTTGGGGGATGTCTATGAACTGAACAATGAATGGGAGTTCTTCATGGGGTACCGATTTGGTATCTTCAACTTTGCCACGACAGAGGCTGGAGGAAGTGTGGTGTTGAACTCGTTTGCCTTGTCGTGATTTTTACCATATTTTTCCATGCTACACGCCAACCCCTTACTTAGCATTCGCCATGAAGGTTCTGTGGAAACAGTTTGGTTTTGCATCATGTTACTATGTATCTTATATAGTGTCCCGAGGTATCTGGATAATGAACATGAATATATTTCTATTTGTTGTGACAGTGACACTCGCTGAAAATACGTCTATGGAGGATGGGGTAATGCCTGGCACCACTGAATGTGGGGATAGCGCACTAGTTCCACCTCGCAGCCGTTCCTGAGTCTCGGCACACGGGGTCCAAGCCCCGTAGAAAGCTGAGTCCAAAAGCCCCACCCCAGTTTTCTAGGTTTCATTGGGTCCTGAGAGGTCATGTCGGGCCAAAGCCATCTGACAACTGCCGACTCCAGGTCTCTGCTACCTGTCTTGACAGATATATGTCGATCAATACTGAAATCGACATGCTTATTCATCTGCGCTGCCCTGGAGTTTAGGCTATTTACCTTCACGGAAACTGACCAGGTTCCTGCATGTGATGCCTAGTGTGAGAACAAGACCGACTTTCTCATAACCAGCCCTACGATGCAGTGGCCTTGCGCTCCGCTTAGAGCTTGAGCTGTGCCGAATGTCTGTAGTAAGTTTGACTTCCAGGCGCACACCGGAAGCTGGTTGGATGGTATAGTATGTACCTAGTACTTGTATCCAGAGCGAAGTGACGCAAAGTTTGCTCAGTGTCGGGCATCACCTTCTTTCCCATCGACCGGGTGATATGCAGTCTTGCCGAAGGTCTCCCTAGCTAATATTCAAGCATTAGGATCTGGGCGTCTTAGCAGGATGCAATAGACTTTGGTGACATCTGGGGTGTGCATCCGATCCCCAGAGTCCTCTAGCCGTCGACTAGTGCCCCACAGAGTAGAGTGGAGCAGGGAACGCGCTCCGAGTTCCTGGTTCTAGGGTTCTAGAGAGTCCGCGGGTTAGATAGATTAGTTAAAACCTGGTCAACTCTGATGGTCTGTTGGATTCAGGTGATTCTGGGACTCTACTATTCTCTTTCTCTATGTAGTTCTCGCCTGGAATGTAGCTTGGAGTAGTGGACTTAGTAGACATATGACTGGTGGCGATAGTAAGCGTGGCGGTAGAATGGAGGCTTTGGCATCAACACTTGCGGTAACGGGTTTTCTAAACTAGCTGGGTAGAGGTTGAGAAGAATCAAACATCCTAGGCTATGGCCATATGCCTGTCCAAATTATGGACCATCGGCGAAAAATACCACAGAGCAGTATTGTTGTACCTTTCCTGGGTTGGGATTCTTAAAGATGTGATTAAATATATCTCTAACGCGGTTAAATCTTAGTACGCTGAGTTTGTCCCTTCTTATGTTGAAGACTGGCCTAAAGCTCATTGAGAAACTGTGTCATATATGGTGCTGTTAATTCTTAGCACGTTCTCTAGTCGATACTGGAACGGTAAGGAGTTACCTCACACCCTGTTTCCATCATTTTAGCACCCGATGCATTCTTTTATATACATAAACTGACTTTATCCATGAAAGAGACTCTCAGGGGCCAAGGGAACGGGGCAACTGGCGATTCTCTGTTTATTCTTTTGATTGATCTTTACTTAATCTATAACTTGGCTTACTATTCGAGGTTACAAGACATTTCTATTGCTTTTATGCGGGATACGGTACGTTTCGTAGCGAAGAGATTGTTATTCATCCCAGAATATTAAAATACCCTGTTAATCGAAAGAAAGCTGAAAAGAGAGGAGAAAAAGGGAAACATAGCAGAATGATAAGGACCCATTTCGTGTTGCGATCCATCTTAGATGATACCCTGGGCCTGCCAAACTGAGCGAGCAATCTCTTCCAAAAGCGCGGCCCCGAAAATGAAATCACCCTGAAGAGGGCCAGAAGGGGGGTTGACAAACGCGTCTTGAAATTGGATGACCAATGGCCCTCCGGTAACAGTTGTACTACCCCCAGAGCGAGATATCGTAATTGTCTGGGTCTTGGTTGGACGCAGGGGGAACTGGGATAAACTCCGAAGATTATGGGAGTGCTGGACCGCCCCAACTTTCCAGCACTCCAGCGCAATTTTGGCCTCAACCCGACTGATTGAAATCAAGATCACAAGTTTCACCAAGCCCCTCGATCTGGCAAGCCACCAGGAAGCATCAATACGGAGCCTTGGCACACTCTCCGAAACACCGGTTTCGATAACAATAGAAGGCCACTTTTTGTCCCGCCCTGGAATAGGTACCTCCGGGATAAATGACGCATCGGGCTCTTTGCGATATGGGTCATCCACAAATGTTTGGGCCCCGGCAGTTCTCAGCTTGCCCCTCAGTCCCTGCCTTGAAGCCTCCTCCAGGATGAGGAATGAGAGGGTCCCAGTAGCCCCTTCGTGAGCCCCTGTGGGTATCTTGACAATCAACTTGCGACAAGTAGCGTCATAGAAGATCCTCATGCCGATCTCGCGACGCAAGCCTCCATCCTTGCTTAGTTGCTCAGCAACGTGCGACCCAACATATGAAAAGACGGTATATTCGGATCCATCTTTATTCGCGTCAAGCTTCGCTTCCAGCGCTCTCTTGATAGCCCGTTTGTTGGTTGCGACAAGTTCTTGAGTTCCTTCAGGTAAATCCATCAGGAACTCACCGTCTCCAAACTCTGCCATATTGATGAGAGGAGAGGATCTTGCGGCATGTGGGACTGGGGTCTCCGGGTTCGAACTGATAGCGGGCGTGTTCATGTTTCTTGTTCTATTACGTAACTTTGCGTCAGCCAACCTAGTTTTATAGTTAAAAAGTACGATTTGATGAACCCATACTCGGGAAGCGGAGGTTTGAGGATATCAAGTTGGTAAGGTTGTAAGGACCCAAGGGATGCTAGTATTACCACAACGTCAAACTTACCGTTACCCTCTTTAGGCAAATCACTTGGTTATTCAACTCACTGACTTGGTGTATTGAATAATATAAAATTTCTGAAACCCAGAACGTTGCTAGAGTTCGGCTGTAGATTCCCCAAGACCGTAGGAATGATAGCTCAAAGCTGTGAATGGCCCTGTCTGCAATCTCCTTCTATATATCTGCTGAGTTCGCACCCCATGGTTAACTCATCCTTAACTTCCTTCCCTCTCCCAGCCAGTTTACATGAACCCAGAATACGAGTGATTTATTGCAGACGAAGATATCAGTGCTTGCGCTAATAATCATCACTGCAGTTCTAGATGTCCCCTCGTTCAGGACTATCATAGTCTACTTTATGACTTTAGTTCTATATCAGTACTACTTCTATCATCATTGAGGCCATACTAGAGGTTGAACCTATATATTGATAGTGGTATTCCCAAACTACTTACCTCAATAATTACTGGTAAAAGGCTCAAGCTTGCATCTCACTAGAATCGCTGCATTTAGAAAGTCTTCGCAGACGGATAGATTGTGTTTCAATATTCATTGTGTTATGATGACCTATCCAATTTTGATAATGCGGGGTATTTAGATACCATCGCCAACCACATGGTTAGAGGCAGTACTATTGACTATGAATTGGAGTAGAAATATCTGTGGCGTACCGTTTATTAGGTATTGTCAACACTTTGAAATTGCTCGAAGCACGCTCGCGAAATGCTCCATAGAAAGGACTACCGAGTGAAATATTCGAATGGGTTTAGTTCTTGCATGGTCAGATGATCTATTTATAAACCGACGCTTATAAATCCATATGGGTTGCCTAACTGAGGATATAAGCCCAACTACCGAAACATCTTGATATTGACCTGGAAAAAACTTGACGACTTTCTCGCATTGAGACAAGTAACAAAATCATGTCCTCCGAACAACCAAAAATCAAAGCAGTCTTCTTCGATTTCATGGGCACATGTCTCGACTGGCACACCAGTGTTGTCCAGTCTTTGCCCCCGTCAATTCCCAGAGATGAAGGATCGAAGTTGGCACTGGAATGGCGCAGGCAGTACTTTATCGAAAACCAGCAGCGCTTCCAACGGAATCTACACCCCGAAGATATTGACATCACCCTGGCTCGTGTGTTTGAAGCCGTACTCAACAAATCGTACTCAGAGTATACATCCCACTTTGACATCGAAACCAAAGCACAACTCATCAAAGCATGGCACGCTCAACCTGCCTGGCCAGAAGTGCCGATCGCTATACGCAGTATCCAGGAAGATCTCGGTTTGGAAGTCTTCGTGCATGCCAACGGGACAACGCGGCTCCAGCTTGACCTCGTCCGCTCTTCGGGGCTGAATTTTAATATGCTGTTCTCCAGCCAGTTACTGGGGCTGTACAAGCCTAATCTGGAGGCGTATCGGAGAGCGCTACAGCTTGTTAAACTTCAGCCGGAAGAAGTAATCATGGTGGCAGCGCATGCGTATGATTTACGAGCAGCGAAGAAGATCGGCATGAAGACGGTTTATATCCATCGATGGACGGATGATGTCGATGAGAATATGGATGAGGTTGGGAAAGAGTTTGATGTGTTCTTAGAGGGAATGGAGCAACTTCCTGCTACGATTGCTCGGTTGTAAATAGATACGTCCATGCAAGCTGATACCACCCATCCGCATAAATTCTTTTTTCGTATATTTTCTTACTAAGGTACTGATAGACTACTTTTCATACCTTGCCGACTATCTCTTCAAAGAAATATAAATAGTCAGCGCGGGCTTTAAATTCTTATTAGTCCTCTAGTATATAGTTTTGACTCAGGCGGATACTCGGACAACTGTACGAAGTGAGGTGTATGCCGTTCGGGTCCAAGGATGTTGAAATGGGTTGGACTCTGCCAATACTCTAGAGGAGTCCTTTGTAAAATTCACTTGATTGCTAAAAGTCGTCGAAAGAAATGAAGCCTCATGGCGGCGGAGCGGTTGGAAGATCAGACGGCTTTCTTTCCAAGGGAATATTATGATTTTGTGCTGCCTGGATTCACATCTTATTATGTAACTGTAATCACCTTGCGTTCAGAGTTATATTGTAACATGACTGGCTCGAACACTTGTTGTAATTTATTATCGACTGGGAAGTTGTTTATCCCGAAGGTGCAAAGACCCGCTGCGGTCATCTCGCAACAAGACCTCTCTCTGTACATAAAAGTTATATTCTCAGGAGCCGGTAAGCATAACTAGATTGGGAGTGCAATATTTCTCCTGGACCATTTAGTACTCATGGAAAAGGATCCGAGACAAGCGAAACCAATTCCAATGCCACTGAGGGCAAGGTGAAGTAATAAAGTGTCCAGTCATATAAGCAAAACCCTATCGTTACTGTCGATCAAGTTAGGACGGGGAATAGTCACGGCTGCGCTTTTATCGTGGTCCTGAACAAAAGTCCCGCGGAAGACAGATGATCAGGACGGGTCTTAGGCAGAAATATTCGTAATTCTGCTTGATACACCCCTGTACTTAGTAGTTGCTACTAATATTCCTTTATCACAGCGTTGCATCTGCTAGCGCACAGCCAAGTGTGCACAAGCATTGGTTTTTTACCCTATTGTCTCCGTCAAACGTTCTCCTTTCTGATATATCGCAAGCGATCAAGCATGCACGAAGAAACATGTCCGCTGCTAGGCAGCGCTCCACGAAGATACACTATACTCTGTACTCCATACGCGACTCCACCATAAGAACACCACACAAATTCCCCCAAACCTCGATATAGGGAAATTTAGGCCTCGCCAAAACCCGGGGGCACTACCCAACGGTACCCTTGTATTGACAAACACACTACACACGGAAAATATAGTTGCAGCTTATTTAGAAATTCCAGATGACTATATTTATCCGTACTAATTCGGACAAGTCCGCTGATTTGGCCTATCAAACTAACCACCAGCATCTTTCAAGTATTTCAATAAGCCCTATAGACATATAGAGGCCTCATTAACCTACAAATTAAATTACCCTGTCTAATTCAGTGACCAGTCACAGCTAGCATCACAGAATCCCGGGGTGGAAAGCTCCGGAAAGCTCCGACCGCGTCAAGAACAGCGGCCTAGCGGCCCGGTGGCAGCCAACCCGGGGTTAGGGTAGGTCAAGCTCACTAGCGTGAGGCATTGGAGCTAAAGACCCGACGGGGTGTGATAGTGATACCCGTACTCCGTAGGAGTGACGGACCCCGGCCGTAGCGTAACTGCCACTGGTTGGGGTTACAAAGTACTATCGTACACCAATCACCAATAAGTGATATACGTCCTATTGTTCATCGACAGGGGTGTCATGTAACCCTTGGATGCAACTCTGGAGGAAAAGTCATTATCTCTAAGTGCAGTGAAGCAAAATGAAGAGATAAAGAAGGCCCAGACGCTGATAAGTGGGCTGGGAGCGCGAGATCGGCGCTACTAAGGCCACGACTGATAAGGCCCTTGTACCGTGCCAAGGTATGAAACATTCTGCAACTACTCCGTAGCAAGGCTTGTACTGGAGAAGTGGATATATGGCCAAAAGCCCGTTTCGTGTGACACATCAATACTGACTGACCTGTTGGTGCTTCACAACCTCACAGCCTCAGAGGACAGGCGAACCCATTCTCCATTCCTCTGACTCTTAATCCTAATTAACAGTCCGTATGTACATACCTCGAAGGGGGTGATCGATAGGCCACCGAATTCTCCGACCAGGGGCAATAATGTCCTCCCCATCTACGATAAACCCATGTGGCGACGACTCATTTGGCCCTTTCCTTACCACGTTCTGTCGCGGCGGCTTCGACTTCACCCTCCTTTTCGAAGCAAGCATTTTGACGATCGTTCCGGCCGCCTGTTTCCTATTGTTGGCGCCATTTCGGTTACTTCAACTGTCCAGAGAGTCACCCAAAGTAGTTCCATCTGCAATACGTGTGGTGACATGCGTACGTATTTCAATTCCTTCCCCGATCTCCATCCGATAAAACAAGATTTTGAGAGAGGTTTCATACAGGTTCTTGCTGTATCTCTGGTCGTAGTTCAGATCGCCCTGGTTGCCCTTGGCGCTAGACAGCCTACTACCCGGAGACGCGAGTCACTTGCTGGCGCCATCCTTGAGCTCGTAGCAGGGCTTGCCGTTGTCATTCTCACTGATCTTGAGCACATCCGTTCCATTCGACCTTCATTCCTTGTCTCTGCCTACTTGTTTGCCACGATACTTTGTGACCTGGTACGAGTGCGTACTGCTTGGCTATTATCAGACAGTCAAGCCTACGCAGGCTGCCTTTCTTTGTCTCTCATTATCAAATTACTCCTCTTAATCCTGGAGAATGTTGAGAAGCGAAAATGGTTGAAACCTAGTCAGAAGATGAGGTCTAGTGAGAGCCTTAGCGGACTATTCAGCCGCGGCCTCTTCGCTTGGTTGAATGGCCTGTTGTGGAAAGGATACTCCATGCTGCTGTCCGAGAATTCATTGCCTAGAATCCATGAAAAGCTCGCGTCGCGCGACTTATCTGCCCAATTTGCGGAATCTTGGACCTCGTCTAATCAGAGCCGCCAAAATGCACTACTTCTGACTGTGATCAGCTGTCTACGGTGGGAGATACTGACGGTCGCTTTCCCTCGAATCTGTGTTGTGGGGTTTAGTATCGCCCAGCCGTTCCTGGTGGGTAAGACTGTCACCATCCTAGAGCAGAATGATTCATTCTCGCTAGATAAGGGTTACGGCTTGATCGGAGCCACCGCTATTGTATTTATCGGAGTTGCTGTAAGCTGCATATCTCCGGATTTTCATTACTAGCTTCATTCTGTCGGCAAACACCGTACTGACCTTTATTATATAGGTATGTACAGCCTGTTACCAGCATTTGGGGTATCGTGTTACAACGATGCTCCGTGGTGGTCTTATGGCGTTTGTCTTTCAGCACATGATGAATCTACCGTCAGGTAGCGTTGACGAGTCTAGTGCTATTTCCCTCATGGGCACTGATATAGAGATGCTGGCCGAATACTTCCAGTCAACAGTTTGTGAGATTTGGGCCAATATCATACAGCTGGGACTAGCCACCTGGCTTCTTCAAACCCAGGTAGGTGCTGTTTGTATCGCACCCATTGTGGTCGTAATAAGTAAGTCTACTTATCGACGCAGCTCACATATTCATTACCTGACCATTGCCGCTTAGTCTTCACCGTCGCATCGCTCGGCATGGGAAATGCCGTGTCTGCACGGCAGCAATCCTGGCTCCAGGCTACTGAGAAACGCATCAACTTCACCACTGGTATCCTCGGGTCTATCCAAAACATCAAATTCCTTGGATTGACCGAAATAATGGGGGCTATGATTAACGTCTTGCGTGTTGACGAGCTCAGAGTCTCCAAAAGATTCCGTCGAATCCAGACCGTTCGTGTCTGCATGGGTGCGTTCTTTTTTAACCTTCGCTTATGTATATGTATCTTAATAGATCACGATTGAGCTGATACGGAGCGTTAGTCAACCTTCCCACTATTGTTGGGCAGCTCGCAACCTTCGCTGGCTACGCCATAGTAGCTATGGTGCAAGGCTCTGGGGGTCTAAAGGTCTCGCAAGCCATCACGTCGCTCTCACTGGTCAATCTTCTGGTTACTCCGCTCTCTAATCTCTTGCTGGCGATTCCGGATACATTCGCGTCAATAGGCTGTCTCACCCGAATACAGGACTTCCTCAGGAAGCCAGGTCGCACTGGTAAGTCGTGCAGCCACTACCATCGTCTGACAGGCTCTCGAGATATATCCTCAACCAAGTAACTTATTCAATACTACGAACAGAAAGGAGACAAATAGCCCAGATAGCAGGCAGTCCTCCCCTTCTATCCCCATCTTCGTCTACTGTCGAGTTACCCACCCTTAAACAGCATGTGGCCGGTCCTGTTCTAGAAAAGCAATCTGACATCGTTCTGTCCCTCAACAATGCCCACTTTGGATGGAAAGACTCTCTACCCGATAAACCTCGCATCTCGCTTACTTTGAGATCCTCGCCTAATGGTAACCTTGTTATGATCGTCGGTCCAGTAGGTAGTGGTAAGTCCACCTTCCTTAGAGGACTTGCTGGTGAAACACCCGTGCTGCAGGGGGAGCTCTTTATGAAGTACCCGGATCTGGCCTTTTGTGAGCAAACCTCATGGTTGACAAATACATCAATCCGAGAAAGCATTATTGGAGAAAACCTATCATCTTTGTTCGATTATGAGTGGTATCACACCGTGGTCAGAGCATGTGGACTGGAGCCAGATCTCAAGAGATTGCCGGCCGGCGATCAAACACTTGTAGGCAGCAAGGGTGCTAAACTAAGCGGTGGGCAGAAGCAAAGAATAGTGAGTCGCATATTTCTTTATGTGTTATCTAGCTATGAGTGGAGCACTTACAGCTTGATTTCTACCGTAGGCTATAGCGCGAGCCGTTTATGCGCGAAAGCGTATTGCTTGCTTCGACGATGTCCTCAGTGGTCTAGACAATGGCACAGCTCATCTGGTATTCAACAATGTTTTCGGTCCGGCTGGATTACTACGCCGGCTGGGCTGCACTGCGTTCTTGGCTACCCACAGCGGTATGTATTCATTCCCTACTTCCTTAAACATTCAAGTTGATACA